TGAAGGTAGTTTCGGAGGTTGCTGTTACAAGACTCACTCAGCTGTGAGCTTCGCATACCAGCTGTGAAGTGGTCCTTAATCCATGCTGAAGACCACTGTTTCCTCACCTTGTAAATTGAATCCAACCAGTTCCTTGGATTGGTGCCTTCTTCTGGATAATGTGTGTCTAGCAACCTTGACCAATTGTACTCAAATTCTTCCTCATTTTCTACCCCAAAAGTGACATATTGCAGATCTTCTAGAATGTTTGTGTTTGTGGTGTCGAGATGCTTCATTGCATTCTGCTTGATATGAAAAGTACATAAGCCATGGAATGCTTCAGGAATGACGGATCTAATCCCAGCGGCGATTGCAGCAGCTTGGTCGGTGAATATTGATGTTGGTCGGGTGCCTGACATACATTTCAAGAATGCATCGAACAACCACTTGAATGTAGTGGTTGTTTCATCATAAAGGAGAGCAGCCCCGAAGATGCAGAGTGCTCGATGGTGGTTGAAGCCAACAAACAAAGCTGTAATTTAAAAATAAAAAAAAGAACATAGAATTAAACATTGAAACAAACAAAAGACTGTCTTTTATGATATATATGGTGTGTTTCAGGACGTGTTTAGTATGGTTTATAAGGTTTCTGGTTAGGATTCTCAAAATGAATGTTTCATGTTTTTTTGTTGTTTGTTTTAAGAGTGTTTGGGGTGGTTTTATGTTACTTATGGTATGCATTGGGTAATGTTTGGTATGCATTCAACTTCAAAATATCAAGAAAATTAAGCAAGGAATACCTCTTAATGCAAACCACAAACCTTTTAATGCATACCACAAATCTTATAAAACAAACCACAAACCCCACAAAGCAAACCACAACATTTGCGGAAGCAGAGACCATAAACCTCTTAATACAAACCACAAACTTCACAAAGAAAACCAGAAACCTCACAAAGCAAACCACAACATTTGCAAAAGCACACCAGAAACCTCCTCATGCATTGTGTAATGTTTGGTATGCATTCAACTTCGAAATCTCAAGAAAATTAAATAGTGCAAGGAATACTGACCTAGTGGACGATAATTCTGGTTTGTCCTGTATGTTGTGTCGAAGCTGATCGTGTCTCCAAAGCAACTGTAGTCAAACCGCATTCTTGCATCAGCCCAGAATATACTTGCAATATCTTCGTTACTATCTACCTCAATTTCATAGAAGAATGATGGATTCCTGTAAGCTTCGTGGCGAAAATATTCAAGAAGTATAGTTGCTTCGCCTGGTTTCATTGATTTCTGCCTTGTCCCTGTGATATAGTTCTTCAGATCATGAGGGGTAAAAGGTACATTCTCCCTCCCCCCTGAAGTTGTGGTGAACAACTCATATGATTTCCGTAGTGAAACTCCACAATCTACATGCACTTGTGCGACCATTGCATGCATTTCTGAGATCCCCTTGTTGGACCTCAATAGATGTTTGAATTTTGCAGGGAGGAGATCATGGTTGTGTTCTGTTATCCACTTGTCCAGCAGTCATTCATCCTTCTCGATATCATATCTAAATTTGATTATAGCTGGGCAGCCAACTCTAGTTTCTGGTACAGCACGTTGATAAGCCTTGACATCGATTGTTCCTTTATTCTTGGGATTTGACTTGCTTGTGGTCTTGTATCCTTCTTTGCTGCAGCAATACCTAGCATATCGTGCTGTTTTGGTTGGCTGTCTTTTTGTAGAACGTTTGACAGCTCCCATGTCCCTCACGCTGAAGCCAAGATCGTGAGCATAGTTCTTGTAGAATTGTTTTGTTTCCTCAATGGTTTTGAATGCCAACCCCAAACAAGTGTAGTCTAACTCGGTCCTGTTTGATGTCACACCTGTAAGCAATGATGAAAGAAATGAGCACTTGATCATTTCATCTTGCGATAATATTTACAAGAAAAGTGAAATGTGGTTTGCATTGTAGTTATTCATGATGCTTTTATGACATTTATGGTGTGCATTACAGTGTATGATTTTTTTTACAAACAGATTGTGGAATGTAACGATTTACGTTTTAATGGTGTGTATTGCAGGTGTTTTGGTGCTTTTAAGAAGTTTTATGGTTTGGTTTTTAAGTGTTTTGGTTGATTGTCTCTTTTTTTCCTGTGGTTTGTTTTGGGAAACATGTGGTGTGTTTGGCGATGCTTTTGGTATCGTTTGTGGGATTTTTGTGGGAGGTTTGATCATTTCATCTTGCGATGATATTTGCTAGAAAAGTGAAAAGTGGTTTGCATTGTAGTTATTCATGATGTTTTTATGACATTTATGGTTTGCATTACAGTGTGATTTTTTTTTTACAAACAGATTGCAAAAAGTTTTTTTGCAAACAGATTTAGGTTTTAATGGTGTGGATTGGAGGTGTTTTGGTGCGTTTAAGAAGTTTTGTGGTTTGGTTTTTAAGTGTTTTGGTTGATTGTCTCTTTTTTTCTTGTGGTTTGTTTTGGGAAGAATGTGGTGTGTTTGGCGATGCTTTTGGTATCGTTTGTGGGATTTTTGTGGGCGGTTTGATTGGAAGTGTTTATGATATGGTAAATGGCTTGTATAAGCGTGATTATGGTGCTCATTGTAAGAAAACAGGAAAGGATTGAGTTGAGCGTACCTTCTTCTTGTTCATTGTTGCCACTGTTGGTGGAAATAGAGGTTTCCAGCAGATATCCGCCTTCTGTTGCTTCAGAAGATGTTGCAATTTGCACGAGTTGTTGAGCATCTACAGAACCAACAGAAACTTCATCTACACGATTCTCGTCCATCGTCAATGTCTTAGCTGCGATCAGGAGCTTGCTCCGCCGTCGCCACCGTTGCGATAGCTGGTGCGATCAGATCTCGTCGGCGCCGTTGCGATCAGATCTCGTCGCCGTCGTTGAGATAGCTGGTGCGATCAGATCTCGTCGCCACCGTTGCGATAGCTGCTGCGATGACGATCTCGTCCCCGTTGCGGTAGCTGCTGCGTCAGGATCTCATCGCCGCGCGTTGCAATAGCTGCTGCGCGGGATTTCGTCGCCGCCGTTGCAGTAGCTGCCGCGATGACGATCTCGTCGCCGTTGTGGTATCTGCTCCGTCAAGATCTCGTCGCCGCGCGTTGCGGTAGCTGCTCCGTCACGATCTCGTCGCCGCCGTTGCAGTAGCTGCTGCGATGAGGATTTCGTCGCCCGTCGTTCAGCCTCGGCGCCGCGCGATTGGAGAGAGAATGGTGAGAAACGAGCTGCACTTTTTCGGACAAAAGGAGCTGCAACTTTTCGGTAGGACAAAAATACCCTTCCTTTGTTTTTTACCCTAGTCAACGCATGAATTTCAAAAGTATGCAGAATGGGGGGTTCCTATTGGTCCACCTATGTTGTTGTTACAATAACAACAAATATAGTGTTGTTACAATATCCTGTCCCTAGAACGAAGGGGCTCATTAAGCAGAACAATGTGTTTTCCGATTGGCAATGGGGAGAAACCCGTCCCAAAATTTCTGAGAAACGAGATTTTATAGTTTCCCCCAGCTACCTCATATATGCCCCATTGTTTTCTCCCACGAAAATGAAATTATAAGTGAAGACGTTTCTTTCCATTTGTTTCTTAATTTTATTGTCACAACAGAAAACAGAAAACAAAATGAAAAGTGACTGGGGTATAAGATAAGATCAAAAACCACTTGGACACTTATAGAAAATCCACATGCCTTTGTCGACATATGTCCTGTGATGACACCTAAAATACACATTTTTCACCAACACATTTATATCCTAAAATGATCTAAATTATATTATGTTCATTCGATTTTCCTGTTTTTGTCACGCCCGCTTTTCATTAAACTACTTATTTACGTGTACATTGTGAGTAAGAATTTAAATGTGTACTATCATCGATTAAGCTAGTGTAATTATCTATCAAGCGGAGTTAAGAGTAAATGCTATATCAAACAACTAAAATCATTTTAATAAAATGAACCCTGTGGATTCCAATAAGGAAATGAAGAGAGTATTAATTTAGGCACTCCTTTTGTTTCTTGGAGACATGCAGAAGCCCACTTCCCAAAATGAAATGAATAAACAACGCGTAACCACCAAGTCTTCAGGCAAATTAAATGGACTAGGAGGTGGCAGATTTCCTTAGAGGGGAAAGGAGTGGTGTTCATACACTTCTTATCTCATTATCTTCTGAGTGTAAGAGAGATAGAGAGAGGAAGGGACAGAAGAAAACTGTCGGCGTCATTCTCCTCCACCATTGTTGTATACTTTCATCATTCGTAGAGATCGCCTGCATCAGTAGAGTAGGAATTTGCGGTGGCAATGTTGGTTAAGTGGATGCTAGCTGCTTAAGGTAATATTTTATCTTCTCTTGGGTTGTGTCTAATGAGATAGCAGAGTTAGTTCGCTGGCAGTCAAGCAAGGCGGTGGAACTGGGTTCCCACCTAGCCTTTTGTAAGGGAAGGATGATGATGTCTGTTTGATAAGTGGAAGGTTATATCCATGTATAGAGTACAGAATATATAGAGAATATATATATACATTTCATGCAAAAAATGTGAGGCAATTCCCTCGTACTGAGAGGGAGGTGTTTAAGAGTTAGAGGGGTATTAAAGTTCATGGGTGGAAGGCTTGAGGGGATTTGCGTGTGATGATTATATATATGCATAGCAGTTCTTGTATGATATAATTAATGATGGAAAGATAGGATTTGGGTATTCGTGGAAATTAGTAATAGAATTCGTGCACACATTACATATAAATGGCTTAGTGATTAGTACAAATGATCCAATTGAGTTCTCTCAAGAATCTTGCATGCGTGCCATACCACCATTTTGTCAAGTTTTATGTGTGCATGGATTTGAGATGAGAGTTATGTTCCTGGGTTTTGGAATGCATGATGGGGGTGTATGAGTATTAATAGTCTCGTAGCGAGAGGGGTCAAGTTGAGAGTTGAATAATTAATTATAATGACTTGAAGTGTTTATGAGTATGCGATACATTAATGCACATTTAAAAAGGAATAGTTACAGGACACTATTGTTTTAATTATGTGATTAATAGTTAATTTTGATGGCTAATTACTGAACATAGAGTTATGGTATTAAGCGGAGTTATGTACCTTCTTAAAGGGAAGGAGAAAGCTGGGGAGTCATCGAAAGGCAAGGGAATAGCAGAGTAACAACAAAGCTGTGAGTAAATTCTAACCTATTAACCATATGGATACAAATATGGTATTCGGGTTATGAAGCGGCCCGAATATGGAACATGAAATGTGAGATTTATACTTGGTTGTGATTATGTGTGGGTGAATTAAATGATATGTGATGGATGAGGAATAAATGTGATGTGTGCATGATTACGTGACAACGTATGTGTGATACGTGATGAATGATGATTATGAACGGAAATCGTGATGTATGTGTGATATGGAAAGGGCCTGGAAGGCAATGTTACGGCATTGGAAAGCCTATAAGGCGATGAGGGGAGTATAGCCAGTACGTGATGATATTGGATAGTCTAACTGGCTATCGTGTTATACTGGAAAGCCTATAAGGCGAAAATGTGATGATGGGAAGTTTATAAGACGATGATATGCATATGTGAATGTTATGATTTTATGAAATGATGAATGTGACTATGTGAATGTTATGATTTTGTGAATGGATATGTCTTACATGATTGATGATACTGCTTGATTGACTAACTAAAGAATTGTCTGAGCACCTAAATTAAATTAAAAGGGGCCGTTATGTACTGTATGATATGAGGGTCTGACCGGCCAGACACATAGTGTCAAAAGCTGCGAAGTGATATGGGGTCCGACCGGCCCGACACATGGTGTCAAAAGCTGCGAGATGATATAGGGTCCGACCAGCCTGGCACTGGATGCCAAAAGCTGCGAAATACCCGGGGAAGTACATGACGTGGCAACCTAAAGGCTAAAATACACGTAATTTGGCTAACATCATTGTATGCATGTGCATGTGTATGTGTATGTGTATGTGTATGTGTATGTGTATGTGTATGCGTATGCGTATATGTGTGTGTATGTGTATGTGTACAATTGGTTACTGAATCGTGATGATTTTCTGTATGGGATGAAAGAACAAAGTAAATCCGAATGATCAGTCATGTTGGGGGAAAAGAAATAAGAATGGCGTTTGAATTCACCAGATACTACGTTTGTGTTGATACTTTTGGTAGGTTAGCTTTTACTCACTGAGGTGACGTCTCGCCCCCGTCAAACATTTTTCCCCAGATTAGAACTTTTGAACTAGAAGTCGAGGGAACTCAGCAAGGCTCAGCTCGTCATCAATGAGGTGGGATGGTGGACTCGGACTCCGACATGACTTGTTTATTGTATTTTGAGAGAAGATGATCTTCTATACTATCATGTGTTCTGAAGTTTTAAAAGTTTCTGTAAATTATGGTTTGGGTTGTAAAATTAAAGGAATTGTAAAAGATTTTAATCGGTATGATCTTGTGAATGTTTTAAAGTATGTATGGGTTTTACAGTTTTACGCTTGGTTTTGTGTTTGAGTGATTTTTTAGGTCATTATATCCAAAAGAAACAAAAGTTCGAGGAACATAGAGGAAGAAAGCAAAACGATGGTTAGGGTTCGAATCTGGCATTGGTGGAACTCGAGTGTGTAACGTCCCGGGGAGGGCAAAGAGTCGTACCACACCAGTCGCGTCCCCTTTGGTGTTATTATACGAAACATGTTGACTATGATTGTGACGAGTCAAGTGATGATACAGAGTCAAACCGCAACTGCAGAGTTAGACTACTGTTGATTACTGAAGGAAAAGTTGTCAAAAGGACCAACATGGCCATGTTCCGCGACCACATCAACATCAACACACTCAGGAACATGCCATGTTCACAAAACATGTTGAGGTCAACACACCCTGGAACACGACCATGTTCCAAGCCATGTGCACCAGTAACACCTCCAATTTCGTGCCACGTTGAAGAAAGCATTAAACAAAGAACATGGGTACCAACATGACCGTGTTCCAGCTCGTGTTGGTCATCTGGCCACGTCTTGCATTCATTTTTGGCAGAAGATAACATTTATGACGATACCGTTCGCTGGATCTAACACGGCTTGTCAACACTATCGTGTTTGGGGGTGTCAACCAATTCCAGCACGTTTCAATCATTCAACCGACAGTTTTTGGCTATCTACAAGGGAACACGGTCGTGTTTTTGACCACGTTCAGAAGAAAACTCGCCAATCAGTCTCTGCAAGTACTTACAAGTCGTTATGACGACTAGCTATGAATACGGCCTGGAACATGACCGTGTTGTAGGGTATGTTCGGCTTACTGCTGCCTATAAATAGAGCCTTGCAAGAGAAGAAAAGGGTGCTAAAATAATACCCTCACTATAGCCCAGAAACCAACCCAAATTCTGTCCTCCTTTTGTGTACTTTATTTCAAAGTGTTGTTTTCATTTCCCGTCAAAACTCTCATTTTTTCGTATTAATCATCATCATCTCGTACTTCTTCCATCATGTTCTTCATGTTCGTGTTTGTATTTGGGAATACCGTGGTATATTGCATTATTGAGATTACCGAAGTAAGCTTTTGTTCTGTGGGGTTTTGATAATCATATGTGGTGGTAGATTGGTCGGTTTCCACCATTTTCGCCCAACGATTATTCCCCCGTCGGAAGTTTGCTAGGTGTAATCTATTAACTCAATGTACATACCGTATTCTCAACCCCTTCATTCTTCGCCATCATCGTCATCATGGTAATGTTCTCAACCTTATTCTTTCTAAACCTCATCATGTTCGGCTAATCTTCTATTTGTTCTGGATTTGATAAACCCTAATATGCTTTATATGGATTGAGTGGTAACTTTGATATAGACGTGTTGTTCTCATTCTTACGATCCTTTCTCGACTTATCATGTGCAAGTATCAATAGTACGCGTATGTTGAATATTTTGTATGATACATGTAAATGAGACTGCGAGGTAATCTTGCATGTTAGATCTCTCATGAAAAGAACGAATTGATCGAAGCCACCGGCGATGGGGTCACGTAGTTCCTCTGGATTAGCTTAAAAACCTAATACGAAAATTCACAAATCTGGTTAATGCTTTGGTTTAAGAGACTTAAGCTACGGTTTCACTTGATTCTTAAATCGAAAGGGTGTTAATACATGTGCGAACGGGTAAACACTAAATTGGAAATTTTCACGATCTAAGATATGAACAATCGTCTATGTTCAATTCAACTTGTCTGTAAAATGCATATTAGGGGAATTCACTTCCGGGACAACGCCTTCTCCACTTGATTTTACTTTGAAAACTATTTTATTGTGTTTTTATTATTACATGTGTTTTTATATCTAAACGAAAATCAACTAAAAACGATTGACCAGATAATAGGTAAAAGTTGAGTACTAGTACACGAAGTCTCTGTCGATACGACCTTGCTTCCTACTATACCACCTTAGAACGATAGGTGCCCTTGCCTATTTTTCCTGTGTTAGTTATGGGTGATCATCCTGCCATATATAGCTAACATAAGCATTCCATAGGAGAATGTACAATCTGCTAGCAGCAAATCGACATTTTGATGGCGCACAAGCAACAACCAAGGTATCATCTCATGTTGCCTTACAAAATAATTCCAAACCATATACAAAGCAACCACCGTCTTTGAGAAAGAACATTTGAAGAACATACGTTCTCGTGATTCAGTTTCATTTTTGCACAAGACACATGCAACATCTATGATCTTCCAACATCTCAACATCTTATCTCTTGTAGGTATTGCTGCAAGGACTAGGAGCCAAGAGATTATACTAAACTGATCCACACTAGTCTTTCCCCTTAATAGAGTAAACCCACTTACCATAGTTTCTCGTGGCCTTAATATTTCCCAAACCCTCATAATTTCGAACTTAGAACTTTTGCATAGGTGTGTTCAAATGGTCCTACAATATCATAACCAAACTGTCCAAACTAATACAACAACCATATCAAACAAACTAAATTTTAATCGGTTAGGTTAATTGGTTAACCAGATTAACCAATATAACATCCTAGTATTGTCAAGTGAGAAAACTTTCTGATTAATTCATTAATTCGCAATTTATATAATGAATAAATCATAGCAATCAACACATAGTTATAGTTAAATCTTAATATAAACACATGCAACTAATAATTTTATCTAATTATTTCTATTGAAGGTAAGATTATCTTACCTTCAAGAGAAATATTCACCTAGCAAAAATATATGCCAATGGTATGTGGTTAGTGAACTATTTGTGTTGGTGTGAATTAACTTAGTCTCTTAACAATTATCATAGGTTAAAAATACTTTCCTTTCAAGTTTTCATCCAACACAATGTATGAGATTTTATCTAACTTAGGTATTCATATGTTGTGGTCTACACTCTACAAATATAAATATACTGAATATGAACAATATTGAGCTTTATCTTTTATGAGGCTAAAAGGGAGAAACGTTTTCCTCTTGAGTGGTTATGCAAAATATTTAATATGTGTATATAATATATATTAGATATATGGCTATTTACTTAACTGGTTAGTTTAGTTTCAATGGTTACGAATGTCCGATACCAACCCAAACCACCTAAGCCAAACAAGCTAAAAAACTTAACCCAACCAAATCACTTATCCAAATTAACCAAACCAAACTATCCAGATACTATCGATTAAAATGGTTACCAAGGTAATTGCTCCGTTTAAACACCCCTATGTTTGCATAGGTGAGGCTAAATGAGATGGTGTGGTTTTAAAATATGCTTTCAAGCCCATGAAGAACTTAGAATAAGCTTCATAGTCACATAATACCATTTTTTTTACCTATATACCTTCATTCAAGCTATCAATATTGTGTCACATTCCATTAACAACATCCACATATGCATCCATAATAAAAAAATAAAAAACATCCACAATATGCATGCCGTACATATTTAACTCCTAAAGACTAATTCATGCAGTCCTCGCCCCTCTTTCTTTTCCCCATCACAACCACTCTATCCCAGACGACATTGGCTTTACCTGAATCACCACCATGCAAAAACAATAGCAATTAGAGATTACATTTCAGAGTCAATAAAATACATAACTTATGAACCAAATATTTGAATTATCTCATTGCGTGAGCTGGGCCAAAAGAAGTAACCTTCTTCGTCCATTAAATGTGAAAAAGAAGTTGACAAGAGGCAACACCGACATTTAGCATAGGAAAAAGCTCATTCATTGCTATAATAGATAGTTTCTAAGAAAATATGATTTGAGTAAACCGGAAATTGTTAGTGAAGGACTACAATTTCAGCAACCATAATTTATTATTTTCAATGAGAGAATTCGACAACTACTTACCAGGGTCGCCAAACAATAGTGATATGTTGGATATTTAGGCAACCTTTGATTATGGTCGTCAAATGATATATTCAAGGTACTGTGTTCTCTATGGTAGGTGAATAAGCATTGTTAGTAAATATCAAGTAGCCTTAATTTATATGGTATGTAAATGCTGATAATTCAAAACATAAAGTAGAATGCATATTATTCTTAAATGGAGTCATTTTTATTTTGAAACGTAATGACTTATCAAATAAAAAAAACACAATATTTCATTCTCTACATTTTCGAAATACAATTATCATTCTCGGTATTGAGATGAGCTTAAAGTTTAGCAAACCTATATTAGTCCCTTCAAGCATTCTCCATTCCAACATCAAAAAATGATGTCTTCCATCTATAATTTCCACAAACAAAAGCAGAAGTCATGTTATGTTACCAAAAGCATTTTATATATGTATACGTTAGCCAAATATGTAGTTGCTATATATGCATTTTGTACAAGATACTTCTTCAATTTTCTTGACATTAGAATCATTAGAACACACCTCACATGAACAGTTCTAGAAAATGCACATCCAACTCAAGTCCTACTAAGATCGACACACTATATAAAAATGGGGGAAGGTGAAAACAAAGTTACATTTCAATTAAGGAATCATCATCAGAATTCATGAACTTCAATAACCGAAAATGAAAACACGCTTATGTTTGCCACAATAGGGCACAATTAGTAGAAGACTTGCACAATAGATCATGTGTGAAGGAAAGGGCAGTACATTTGTACTCGAAACCTTGAATCCAACATTAGAAGCTGTGATTCCAATTCATTTGGAAAATGTGACAAAGAAATAAGCTCTGCTTTAGGATACAAAAGTCCACATTGTCCATAATCAAATTAATATATAAAAGCCTAACATTGGACTTACTACTCATTAGTGGCTCTAACGCTCCTCCAAGTGCAAGTGGGGGAGTTCCAAGTCCTTCTTTTACCCCACTCACCATTCTACAACCTTTGTGTTTAGTTATTGTTCGCTAGGTTTTCGTCTATGGCTTTTTGCACAAATCAACGCCTTTGCTCACCATTATGCAGCCCATCTCAAAATACTGTCGGCAAAATTCTAAGTTGTTCCCCACCAGTGTTTTTCAAGGCCGCTACCATGAGTGTATCGGGACCAAGTTTCATCCTCTTTAGTGTTTTTTTCTTTCTCTTTTTCATTTTTGTTGAACATGATCTTTTCTTTCTCTTTTTCCTTTTGTTGAGCATGATCATAATTGAATCCAAACACATGGGTATCCTAACTTGAACATTAATATTAATTAATATATAAAAACCTAATATTAATTAATATATAAAAACCTAACATTGGAGTTACTATTCATTAGTGGCTCTCACACTCCTCCATGTTCAAGTGGGGGAGTTCCAAGTCTTTCTTTTACCCCACTCTCCATTCTACAACCTTTGTGTTTAATTATAGTTCGCTACATTTTCGTCTATGAATTTTTGCACAAATCATCGCCTTTTCTCACCACTTTGCAACCCATCTCGAAATACTATAGGCGGGCTCTTAAGTTGTTCCCCACCACCATTTTTCAAGGCCGCTACCATGAGTTTAATATCTTAAAAGCCTAACATTGGAGTTAGTATTCATTAGTGGCTCTCACACTCCTCCAAGTGCAAGTGGGGGAGTTCCAAGTCCTTTTACCTCACTCTCCATTCTACAACCTTTGTGTTTAGTTATTGTTCGCTAGATTTTCGTTTATAGATTTTCGCACAAATCATCGCCTTTGCTCACCATTTTGCAGCTCATCTCGAAATACTATCGTCGGAGTCCTAAGTTGTTCCCCACCACCGATTCCCAAGGCCGCTACCATGAGTTTTGTATCAGGACTGAGTTTCATCCTCTTCAGTATTTTTTTCTTTCTATATTTCCTTTTTGTTGAGCATGATCACAATTGAATCCAAACACATGGGTATACTAACTTGAACACAAATCATCGCCTTTGCCCACCATTTTGCAGCCCATCTCGAAATACTGTCGGTAAAATCCTAAGTGTTTAGTTATTGTTCGCTAGATTTTCGTCTATTGATTTTTGCACAAATCATCGCCTTTACCCCACTCTCCATTCTATAACCTTTGTGTTTAGTTATTGTTTGCTACTTTTTTGTCTATAGCTTTTTGCACAGATCATCGCCTTTGTTCACCAATATGCCGCCCATCTCGAAATATTGTCGGTGGAATCCTGAGTTGTTCCCCACCACCGTTTTACAAGGCCGCTACCATGATTTTTGTATCGTCAATCATTCACCTCATGGTTTCTTTAGAGTAGTGTACCACCAACCATTTTACGAATGGTTGATGAAGTTTTGATCTATCAGCGACTATTTTAATAATGGTTGCGCTACAGTTGGGTATCAACAACCATTTTGAGGATAGTTGTTGAAGTACTGGTTTATCGTCAACCGTACACCTCATGGTTGCTTAATAGTAGCATTTCACTAACCATTTTATGAATGGTTGCCTGAGTTTTGACCTATGAGCGACTATTTTTTTATAAGGGTGATGAGTTTTATTAAGGAACTGAAAAAAAGGTAACAAAGGAGGCAAGGTTCAAAAGAACTGAACCCGCCAAGCGTTCAAAGTACAAGGAAGCTCCTATAAAAACTAAAACAGCAAGGAAAAGTGCACAGTAGAATGGAGAGAAGAAGAAAGAAAGGAGAAGGAAAAGGTAGTAACAGATAGAGATACAAGCAAACCAGCCAAGCGGACCAAGCCGACCCCGCTAAGAGAAAGCTGCTACCATGAGGCTAAAACCAACAGAGGAAAATCAGTCTTCACAGCACGCTCGAAAGCCAGCAACGAAAAGGGTGCAGGACCCTTCCATCAAGTCCCAGAGATTCGCTCGACAAGCCATTGTGAAGCTTGATATTTATTATAATGTTTGTATGATTTCCAAGAAAATGGTATCCGAAACCATTTTTCTTATAGTGTTACCTCTCTTTATACACCAAAGAAACCACAGAGCCATATATTGATTCTGAGACCAAATCAGGTAGTTGTTACACACTTTAATCCATTTTACAAATTGATCAGGAAATCTCATCTTTGTCATCAGTCAGAACATATGCGTCCATTAAATGGAGTCAACTCCAGTCATAAGATCAACCTTGATAGGCAATGAGATGAGAGAGCCCTACAATGAAAACTACTTACCAACTTTTGCCCCATTAGTATGTTGTCCACTGATAACGGTTGCCAGCACCTCCCTCAACCTCTTTGTTATAAGCTTAGAAATTATTTTTTTAGAGGAGGTTAATGGAACTAGAACAAGACAATAAGCTTAGTAGTACATAGAAGTGTTTTATTTTAAATTGAAACTAAGGCCCTGTTTAGTATGCAACAATACTAAATGGACCTCAAGTAGAGGAAGAGGAAGAAGATGACAATGGAGCAAATGGTTCGATTAGTTGGATTTGAACGTTAAAAGTGGTATGGGCCAAACCAGACTAAGGCCACTTCTATCTCTTTTAGTTTGTACTTCCCTTTGTGACTTAAGGCTTAAGACCCAAAACTTTCAAAAAACCAAATCCCTCCCAAATATTCCGCAATGTTTTCAATCAAGAACATAAAAAGTAAACAGAGTCAGCATAGACAACTCTAATTTCCTTAGTATGAAAGACAAGAAATCTTCAACGGGAAGTTAAAGGCACTGAATGAATAACACATAGATCTTTATTAACGGGGTTCAACCTATTGCTTATGTCTCGGCTCAAGGATGTCTGCCCTTGAAACCTAGATCACTAGGATCTAGAACTTTTATTACTGATGTTCTAACCTCAAGTTGAACTCATTTAGGTAGAGCTCGAAACCTTTATAGTGGTGGTGGACATATATAACTCATGCTCTCACAAGCTTTACAACTAAAGGGATCCCTCACACTCACAAAGATGCTCAAGAATTATAACTTAGCTCTGAACAACAAGAACTAAATAATCGCTAATCACATATGACTCTTTGTGATATGCTCCTTTGCATATTTTCACACTCTTGAACCCCGCCCTCTTTTCTGTTGGTATCCTTTGCATTTTTCAGCATTCAACATCCATCTTTGATTCATTGGTTCACCTTTCAAATTCTTTCCTACAAAGGTTGGTAAAGTTGTTGTGATTGTTATAGAATTACTTGATTGATAAAGGTAAAGAAAGGGAAAGAGTTGTCAATAGTTAATACATGATATTGGTCGGAAGTCTTTGAGTCGATCCATGTATGAATCTTCAGGCATGATGAGACTATAATCGAGTTTACTCCATCTAAAAAGGTCTCTGAATAAATAAGCCCAGAATTAATGTCACGCATTGGTGCCTTGAATTGATTGGGGCTTATATAAAATGAAACTAAGAAATAAGGTGGATAAAATGAAAATTAATCTTTTTTTTTATAACTTACCTAGAATTTATTACTAATGAAAGTTTATTTTTTATAGTTTGTCTTGATTTTATTGTTTGACTAATGTTGGGTGTCAAATTACAATCAGCTAAAAGTTGAGGGAATAAAAAGATGGACGGTCGCGATAATCGGATCTGCGTGTCCTCTCATCTGCAGTTGAGCTTGGCCATTACATGCGCCACTTCATTTTCAAAATGAAAATTTATCTGAGCAAGAATTTACATGAATACTGCAAACAGTGGCGGATCCAGGGGGTGGCCACCCCGGGCTACGGCCCAGCCCTCCTCTGGATCCGGAGCTTGTATAGTCTTTGTGGATTTTTCGATTAAGGTATTTGGCCTAGTGTTATTTTATAATAAGATTGTGTTTAATTAGAAAAATGGTTGAGATGAAAACATTCAAATCACTACTCTAAAGTTAGCCTACAAATTCTAGCCCCAAAGACTTTCGTCTAAAAAAACAATGAAAACTAAAATTCTAAAAATCTAAAGCGTAAAGACTAAAAGAAATATAAGGTTTGTTCCATTGGAGAAATATAATTTGTCTTGATTTTATTGTTTGAGTAATGTTGGGTGTCAAATTACAATCAGCTAAAAGTTAAGGGAATAAAAAGATGGACTGTCGCGATAACCGGATTTGCATGTCCTCTCGTCTGCAGTTGAGCTTGGCCATTACATGCGCCACTTCATTTTCAAAATGAAAATTTATCTGAGCAAGAATTTACACGAATACTGCAAACAGTGGCGGATCTAGGGGTGGCCACCCCGGGCCACGGCCAGCCCTCCTCTAGATCCGGAGCTTGTATAGTCTTTGTGGATTTTTCGATTTAGGTATTTGGCCCAGTGTTATTTTATAATAAGATTGTATGTAATTGGAAAAATGGTTGAGATGAACACATTCAAATCACTACTCTAAATTTAGCCTACAAATTCTAGCCCCAAAGACTTTCGTCTAAAAAAACAATGAAAACTAAAATTCTAAAAATCTAAAGTGTAAAGGCTAAAAGAAATATAAGGTTTGTTCCATTGGAGAAATTACTAGAGCAACTGGTAGGTATAGAGATGGACACACAATGCAAATCGATTAGTCGATTGATTTGTCTAGTATTGACGCTACCCATTTCAACGACTACTACAAAGAGAACTTTTTCAACAATGAAACATGTGAAAACTTATTTGCGCAACAAATGAGCGATGAATTTCTTGTCGATTGTTTAACTATTTTAATTGAAACAGAGTATGTCATTGGTATGAATGTAGACTCCATTATTGATGCATTCGCTGAATTAAAAGACCGTCGTGTACAATTGACATTGTAAAAAAAGAGCTATGACCATTATTTTTAATGAAATGCGGCTCAGTGCTCTATTTTGTTCTGGATCCGCCATTGACTGCAAATATTATAAAAAGGCCAAATATTAACCTTTTATCCGCCAACGGGATAGGTATTAAGCTAGTAGTCGTTTGCTTGTTGGATTTGGGTCATGGATTTGGTACCCAAATCCCAAGCTTGATGGATTTAACATAAGTCCATTGTTTGTTGAAGAGTGCTAAATCCGTGGGGTCCACGGATTTGGTCTTTATTTTGGAACCAAATCCGTGGACCCCACGGACTTGTAAATCCCACATATTGATTTGGGATTGGCAAATCCTTGATGGTTAGTTATTTATTTAACAAATCCATCACAAATCCATCATCAAATCTATCATGCAAACATTAGACTCTTCAAATCTATAATCCAATAAATCCAACATAAATCCCAAGGTTTTTGTTGGCCAAAACCCTCATTTTTCAAATCCAACAAGCAAACGACCCCTAAGAAATAAAGGATTTTATATAGTGGGACATTATATGGGTGCTTTTGTCAGCAACCTGGGCATCTGTTCCATCACCAGTGCCGAACTCAAAGGAGTTGCATAAGGTCTGACATTGGCATGGAATATGGGCCTCAAGAAGGATCACGTGTGTCTTGATTCCACGACCGCTATCAATATCGTCAAGAACTCTATGGAGGAAGATCATAGACATGGTCTGCTTACCAAGCATATCCGTGGACCTTTGAATAGAGAACGGGATGTTAGAATTTCCCATGTCTTTAGGAAAAGTAATTTTGCATCCGGCTACTTAGCTAGAGTTGGGCATGAGTTTCCTTTGGGTACACATTCATTCAATGTGTGCGACCCGAAACTTTGCTATTGGCTCTCGTATGATGTAATAGGTATCTCTCATGATCGTTTAATCTATATGAACTAGGATGCTTCCCATCCACTTTCTACCCAAAAAAATAATAATAATGAGCTAGTAGTCTAATGGGTTATAAGTATAATATGCCCATATACTAATTTTTACATCAAACATGCTCTTATGTTAAAATTTCCATTAAAAATGGTTAACCACGACTGAACCGAGATTCACAAAACTCGACATCAGGAAAATTGGGGGTGAAATGTCAATTTTTCCTCATTTATTTCTCCAGGTCTCGTTAAATTGAAATTATTGGATGTATTTGGCTATAAAAAAATTCTAAAGTGAAATTATTATGAATATTTTAGATATAGGTGTCACCCAAACCAAGGTTCGACCATGGTTGATGGTTTTTTTATGTAAATTTTAATAGAAGGGTATGTTTGATCATTTATACAAACTATAGAGGCATGTTTGATGTAAGAAATAGTAGAGTGACCTGTTGGATAAAACTACATAATATAGAGGCATATGATACCTATAGGGCATTGCTATTCGTCGCCCTAAATTACCTTATTCGTCGCCCTAATTTTTATCAAAATGACTCAAATATCCTTAGTTTAGTTTGTATCTCATCTCTATTTCCTATTTTCAGAGGACTTTCCATATCCGGGGTTTTTTCGTAACCGCCGTTGGAACCAGCGGATGGATTGAAAACTCATTTCCGGCGAGTTGAGAACAGGTCGGCTTTCTTGATGGTCGGTTGGCTGAATCCCTTTCCCCCTTCCCTTCCAATTATATGATATGCATAAGCAAATAGCTAATGTGGACGGCTGCAACTGCAAAGCATAAAGCTGTATTTTTCCCCTAATGAATATAAAGTTGTCTTTCTCCAATGGAATCAGAGTCCTCTTACTGCGAATGGTTTAACCAAGAAAAAGAATTCTAAGGAATCCAAAGACATTATTTAATGAATCATATATACAGAGAGATCCAAGTCTTTGACCACTCTTTATCATATTGCACATATATTTAATCAGTAGAATCTGGCAGCAACAGTAGAATCCGGCGGTGGTCAGCTGTTGGCGAGAGGAATCTGGCAGCGGCAGCAGCGAGCGGAGGATAGAGGAGCTCGGCGATGGCTGGCAGGGTAAGAGACTGTTCGTAGGTTTTGGTTAGAAATTGAGACAGGAGGGTAAAAGGGTCAATTATGTGCATTTTAGGGCGACAAACTTTGAATTTTAGGGCGACGAATAGCAATTCAGTACCTATAACCCTAGTCTAATACCAAACATCAAGTTCAGCACGATTCCATAATCAATAGTATGGTGCCAGGGGGATGACAGGTTGTGGCCACCTCCACTTCAGAGATCTCTACAAGTGTAATGTTTTAATGTCAAGAATCTGATGAAAGAAATCAAGAATTTTGGGGACTAATAACCAAATACATCCAAAATTTTCTGTAGGTACCTATCTGAATCGCTATTCATCGCTCTAAAAATTAAATTTTATCGCACTAAAACGCAATAAATTGACATATTTACCCCTCAGCCCAATTTCAATTCTAAACTCTAACAAAATGTCTCTTCCCTCACCCCCAACCCACATATTACGTCCGCGTGAAGAGGCAGAATCGGTTGTTTGTTCAGGAGGGTCTGGTGGTGAGAAACAAACTGGCGATTGAGGTTGTGATCGGATGAACTCCAATGCTTGCAGACGGTTTTGATGATCATGAAAAGAGGAGGGTTTGCTTCTAATCGGCTTCGACGACCTTGCTTCTTACTGATAGGCGGTGGAAAAGCAACGGATTCAAGAAAGCAGGGGCGGAGCAAGTATTACAACGATTGTAGGCGAGCTTGGGATTACAGTTAATTAAGGGACAGAATCCCTAATCCATTCTTTATATCGATCCATGTGATGCGAGCATACCTTCCCTCTGAGTTTGGTTTTTTGGGTCCGCATTCACACTTTTCACTTAGCACAAATCTCTCCACCGATGATCCGTCCTCTACCAATTTCGTCCATTCCAATCATTCCGGCGTCAAGCCGATGATCCATCCTCTACCAATTTCGTCCATTCCAATCATTCCGGCGTCGGTATTGAGATTAAAACAGCCGTCACCCGTTCGGATCCACTGCATCGGATTCCTCGGAGGTGAAACCCAAATAAATGAACTAAGGAGATTTAAGTAAATTTAATCTAATTATGGCGACGAATAGTAATGCATGTACCTATTGGGTAAATGATAAAATTGGTCACTGAAAGAACTAAAAAATTTAACGTTTGGTCACTAAAAATACTTAATTCCAATCATGGTCACTAAAATTAGGGGTCGTTTGGAAGTTGCGATTGTTAAATAGATGTATTGTTGAGAATACATGTATAATATTATACATGTATTGTCGAATTTGATGCATTGTAGAATACAACGTTTGGTATGTGTGATTATGTATGTTGCATCAGCTAAAAGCTGAGACAAAACAATATCAACTCAACTATCTCAACAATCACAACTAAAAGTTGAGATATAACAATCACTCAAAATGAGTGATAGTTTCTGTCACATCATAGAAACAATCCATATATTGTTTCTGCTAAAAAAAACAAAAAAACGATGCATTGTAAACAATACATGCATAATGACAATCTCAACAAAACAATCGCAACTTCCAAACGACCCCTTAGTAAAACATTTTGTATTTAGTCACTTTCCATTACCTTCCATTTTCGTTGATGTGAATACCAAAAATGTCTAGTGGCTACTTTTAACCTAAAAAAATTTTGTATTTAACCTACCACATCATCAAAATCCACACTAGCCAACCCAAACCCAAGGCATATTTTTTACAAATTTTTATTTACCTAATAATAATTATTTTCTCAGTTCCTCTCTTCCCTTTTCTCTAGCCCCACAAGCCCTTTTCCCTATTATTCTTCTTCCAAAACCACCGCCACCTGGGTTGGATACGCGTCTGGGAGGCCCCAGTTCCCCCGAAATTACGGGTTTTCCTCTGGCAACTCTTAAATCGACTCCTTCCCACTACGGAAGCTCTGATAGAGAGGAAGATCCAAGTTCATCCTCGTTGCCCAGTCTGCTGGGCGGAGTCTGAAACGCTTGAGCACCTATTCCTGGAGTGCCCTGTGGCGCAAGCTCTCTGGGATTATGCAGGGTTGGAGTATTTGGGTCAGGGGTTGCCTAGACACACTTTCCCTTTGTTCCTGAAAAGTTTGTTGAATATCCTCCATCAGGACCATTTATTCATGGCAGTAACAGCTGTCCTGTGGCGAATTTGGCGGTCCCGGAACTGGGTTGTATTTGAAGGAAAGCAGTTTGGGATTCCTGCTCTGATGCGACAATATCACCAGCAGTATCAGGAGTGGATTGGTTTGCTGGTTAGTAGATCTCAGGGAGGTCCTGTTCCCCCGGAAGTGGAGATTCCTCATTGCCCTATGATCTGCTTGTGGGATGGGGCTACTATGGCAGCCTCCCACTCGGTAGGAGGGATGTTTGTGAAGAATCACTTGGGGGACGTTCTTATTGCCAGAGGCTTCCAGTTTGCAGGCATTGAGTATCCGTTGATTGCTGAAGCTCTTGCTCTTCGAGAGGCGATTCTCTGGTGCCGAGATTCTGGGTTTGCTGAGGTGCGCTTTGAGGGGGACGCCAAGGTGCTTATTGAGAAGGTTAACCAGGCAAACACTAGGGATAATAAAGTTGGGGCGCTCCTGGAGGAGATTGTAGGGGTTCTTGGTTTGATAGGAGGGTTCTCTGTTCGGTTTGTTGGTCGGCATAGTAATAGGGCAGCCCACTTGGTGGCTAGAAAGGCTCTTCATTTGTACCCGACTACGAGTCGTTCCTTTAATATTCTGACCAGGTTCAATTCCAGGATGTAACTACCTATGTTTCTGATCAATATATCGATTATCTTTTGGAAAAAAAAAAACCACCGCCACCACTATTCCTCTTCTCTCAACTCATTACACGCCGAATTGCAATAAGTTGGGTTTTTGGAGGGCAGACGGATGGTTGAATTTTTTAATTTTATGAGTTTTTTTTGTTTTATGACGTGGAGGGTTTTTATGACGTGGCAAGTTAAATCTTTATTTTTAAAGTTTAAAATTATCTGATTAGACATTTCTGTTAGTTACGTCAGCAAGAAAATTGATGTCGTTAACAGAGATTAACGAAAGTTAACGAAGAGTGATTAAATATGAAATATTTAACTAATTTTAGTGATCATTATTAAAATTAGATATTTTTAATGACCAAACATAAATTTATTTAGTAGTGACCAATCTTATCGTTTACCCGTTCCTATTTCTGAAAGAAATTGATAGCTCAGGTTTTGAATAACGGCCAGTTCTCAATTCAGTTTTGCCAGTTCACTGCAAGCGTAGTTATCGAAGCCAACGGCTGCGATTGGTGGCCAATACGCCGTTCGGAGACTGAGATAGTTACGCCCTCTGGTCCGGCGACGATAGTGACGGACGTCGGAACTCTCAGGCCTGACTCTGGTTTAACTTGCTGGAAAGCTGCTTCAAAGGTTGGAATTTCTCGCGTCTTAATTGGCGTGAATCACGAGGCTGATTGTATTCGGCGGCAGCTTAGAACGATGAGTAAGGGGGGGATTTCTTTTTTGCTCTGTTCCGGTACCTGAATTTGATCGGATTGTGATTGTCTATTGCTTTGTTCATGTATAGAGAAAAATGTGTGTGCATTTTGTTTCCAGGCTATAGTTTCAGTGCTAATGTAGAATCGTTGCTGATTTGCCACATTGAAATCATTGAATTGACCTAATGGGTGTGCTGACCAGATCACCGATTGCCAGTTAACAGCATTTAACGTCTAAAGCTTGCCCCTTTCATTGATAATTATGTGCACTTCGCTGATGGAGAATTAATGTTGCTTAGGTTGCTTGCAGTTTCAAGCTTGTATTAGATGGTGATAGTGAAATTGTATTTTCCTGTTTCACCATGTTGTCGAGAAATTATAATGTGTGTTATTGGACGATGTGTTGAGCCGAAATGAAACCGCTTTCTTCTTACCTTCCATCTTTCTATCAAATGCATGGAACGCGACTTTTTCTTAACGGTCTTAGGATAGATAATGATATTCTTGATGCTGCAAAACCGTTGCTTAAGTTAAGTTGCACATTATCAATCCTTAATCTGTTGTCTGATAGTCAAAGTGCTCAGGAAGTAGTATCCATTGTATCCTATTTCAAGTTATCATATGAGAATACTTGTTCATGCAGGTAGCTTAGGAGTTTGTAACTTCAAAGGCTTCAAGTTTGACTTGGTTGGACAAAGGGATGGCAATTTCAGCCGGAAAACTTGCATTAACAAATGGGTCAGAATGAGGCCTCTACAGTATGCCCCTCTACCTATCTCGCCCAAACCAAAGAAGTGGTTGAGAATAAGCAACAAATTGTCTTTTGAAACAGATCGTACGTTCCTTTATCTTACTAGCTTGTATTACCAGTATTACTATGTTCCAGTACAAAAAAAAAATTCTTCTAAAGGTTATATACATCATGTTTCAGCCTCACCCCTTGTGTTATCAAAGTGATCAACATTGGCCGCTTTTACTTAAGTACATGTCTAATTTAATGCTGTTATTGTAGCTGGTTTAAATGCAGTAGATGGCTCTGAAAAATCAAAGTCATTAATTAAGAGAAGCTACCAAATTCCCAATTTATCTGAGGTAAATATCTTGCTTATTGGACTGTCTCAATGTAGGGTCTTGGTGTTACATGTTCAATTGAGTGGTCGTTACCACTAGTAAACTCCTGAAGCACATATGTGGCCTAATGATGATATATGACAGCTTTGTATGGATTACTTTTTAGTTATTGTGTACAAAAACGTGATTCTCGTGATTCTGATACTGGTTTGGGGAACATTTTTGCCAGTAGATTAGTAGGATCTATCTATAGGGCCCGTGCAACAGACCGCTAGTGTGAAAGATGAAAACTGGATTGAAGAACGCGCTGATTGTTTTCGATCTTATTTTGAACAAAAGCCTCGTAGTCGTCAAGCTTTGGTTTCTTGATTGAAAACCTCAGCTGACTGTTCTCACGGAGTGTAGGATTTGTGGTTACAGGACGGAATGGAAGCAGAGTTTCTTAGTTATCTAGTAGCTGGTAGAAGACAAACTGCCATTATTATATAATCTTGTTTTCTTGTCTCACACTAGGATAGAGTTTATCCTAGGGTTTATGCATCAATGTAAGGTCTCAGCCTGGAAAGAGAAAAGTAAATTTGATATGTGTTCTTTTCTTACAATTAAATTGATATATGTGTGATGTAATTGATCTGCACGCATGTTTGCTGACAAGTTGCGCGTAATGGATACTCTCCTCTTTCAACCTTTCTGGCATATTGCTGTTATCTCTATTCAAATTGAAAACCCATATATTTAACTGTGTTTGCATGATATATCATATATGCACTCAGTTTATATCCCACAGTTGGGTGCACCAGCATCTGTCTTCAGAACTTCTTTTCCTTTGTGCTTTCATCCTGGTCATGCATAATCCTGAACAATAAAGATAACATAGAAAGCCTTTTCTAATTTTGTGCAGATTAAATCTCTGGTCTCTGAAATTTGCGACACAAATTCGATTGCAGAAGTCGAGTTAAAAGTAAGAAAGCAACTCTTAGCTAGTTTCTATCGATTCTTTTATCAATGAAATGCTTACTTCTATGTCTCTGAAAAGGGAGTGATTTAGTTGTGATGTATCTTCTTAATGTTCATTGTCTGCTCTATTGCTAGCTTGGCACACTTCATCTGCATGTGACCAGAGACTTGACTGAGAAGGCTGAACCTTCTGTTTCTCAAACAACTGTAGCTTCACCTGCTGCTGTCCATGTTGGTGCAACTATTGAGGCAGGTAGTTCTAATGGATCTGTTCCCAGTACAGCACTAGTTGTCTCCAAAGAAGCCTCCCCATCTCCAGAAGGAATTAAGCCATTTCTGGATAGAGCTGCTGACGAAGGCATAGTGATTCTACCGTCCCCAAGGGTGAGAAAAAGTGGAAGCACAATAAAGAGCAACACACTTTAGGCCATTTAAAGTCTTGCTTGTTTAAATTGGTGTTGCTAAAATTAGATCACTTTGCGCAGGTGGGTGTGTTCCAAAGATCTCGAACTATAAAGGGAAAACGCACTCCTCCTGCATGTAAAGAGGTATCCTGCTTTTGAGGGTGGTTAATTTTAAACCATTTGTTTACATCTCATTGTACCAGCAAGCTTTGACTGCTCCAATGACGTCTCCTAACATAGTTTTTATTCTTCCCTACAGAAGCAAATCGTGAAGGAGGGACAAGTGCTTTGCTACGTACAGCAGCTAGGGGGTGAAGTTCCAGTTGAGGTATGCTTTCCCCACTGATTTATGGGCTCGTTTGGAACCTCCGATTCCAGATGTTGTATTCTCAGTATACATGTATCCAGGGAATACAACGTTTTTTGACTTGATGTAATAATAGAATGCTTGTATTCATGATACATGTTGTATTCCTAATACATAGAAAATGATGTATTCATAATCTTACCTTTTTGGTGAGATTTGAGTATCCATAGTTCATTTAAACTATAATCCATGCATTCTTTTATGGGTTCCAAACAATGAATTTTCAAAACCACACATTCTTAGTATACACCTAATCGTTAATACACACATTCTCGTAATACATTATTTTCAGAATCAAAGGTTCCAAACGACCCCTATGTTTCTTTTTATAAGATTCATTGGAATTTCGCTTTACCTTTGTTTTTGCACCTTTCAGTCTGATGTGTCCGGAGAGGTAATCAGAATACTGCGGAAGGAAGGAGGTAACTTGTTTCAGAAGATTCATCCTTGTACAATATTACTATGATTAGTTTAATCTATATGCTCTCTGGTAATGAAATGAATGATTAACATCGCGAATTTTTTCCTGTAAAACAGAAGCTGTTGGATATGGCGATCCACTGATAGCGATTCTTCCGTCATTTCCTGGGATCAAGAAACTTCAGTAGAGTAATGTGTTGAACTGTTCCAATACGATTCATTTTTTTATTGAAGCCTTGAATTGGCCAGTTCGGTTTTGTCAGCTCCATGATACAATGGCGATCCCCTGATAGCGATTCTTCCGTCTTTTCCTGGGATCAAGAAACTTCAGTAGAGTAATGTGTTGAACTGTTCCAATACAATGGTGGTGGTTTGAAGGCATAGAATTTTCACTTTGTTTTTGGTTCGGAGACTCTGAAACGAAACTGATGGCAGAGTTAGTTGTGTACATTCTCTCTGGCAACCTATTGGTTGTACATTGCCTTTCATGTTATTATACTTGTGCATATTTGCTACATTTCCTTTATAGTTTGATCTGTTGGATATTTTCCGCCTTCCAGCGATTTTGAAGCTATATTGTTGGGGTTTGCAGCAATTTAACTAAATCACCTTGTTAGCTACAATTTGAGTATAACCCGGTAGGCTTTATGATGTTTTACTGACGTATTTCTGTTTCATGCACATGACAGTCAACTGGATGTGCTTTCACGTCCCCCCATTCAGCAATCAAGCTGGATTTAGTCAGAATAGAATCGATACATTCTAAAATGTTACTGTTTATAGAGATTCCAAAATGTGAAATTATCCCTGCAGAACTTAAGCTTTTCAATATAGAGGATAAAAATCTCTAATAACCATCAAGACAATAAATCCATACAAGCTAATTCCATATTAAACATGCTTATAAACAAACTCCAAAATAACTTAATGACAACACAGATCTCCACGAATACTGCAACTTATGAACTGCATTTTTACATATTCCATTGCTACAGCAACCAACGTGGATTTCGTCATGCCAACTTTCTTCGACGTCCAAAAACTAACCAGCGGCAGCTCAACCAGGCAAGCAAACCATGAACCATGTTGGAAAATTACAAGCATACACAATACACATCCAATGGCAGTTGAATGACCCTTCTGTATCAGTGTCGATTACCCACTCCAGCTGAAGCTCTTTGACCATGGGATCCAGATGAACCATGTAAGCTCTTCTGCTGTGGTGACACACTTCCTCTGCCACCAGGCGATGATACTTGGACAGGTGACCTGCTGCCGGCTGGCTCACCATTCTGTGCCATCTCTTTCTCCAGAAACTTGGCCTCATCAGCGAGCAACGCCAGCTGTTTTCACAACCCAGTGAGTCAATAGATATAACAGCACTACTATAACATATAACCAAGGGCCATGCATGGACATTTATCACAATGACATACCCTAACTTCATTCTCTCGTAAGCGATCCTGGAGGGCACTTATTGCAGGACTCAAGCTGTTCAATTACATTAACCCAAGTACGTCATGCTAAACACCTAATAGTAATTGGCAAATGAACTAAAAGAACTGAAGCTTTATGTGTCTCACCAGTACTCGATCAATTTACAAAGGGAAGCTTGATAAGTAGAGGTTTGGTGAATGAACGCGAGGGGATGTACTTTTCCATTCCTTGAGGAAAACAGACCAAGTACAGAGAAAATGGTGAAGAACAGTTCAAACAAGTACATAGTAGGGATATGAAGAATCAATGATAAGTAAGTGCATCAGGTTGTGAGGATTAGTACCTCAAGTTCTGGGTGATGGCTTGACTATAAGCCCCTCTTTCCTCTTCAAATAATACACGTTGTAAATCAGTCAAGGACGTTAAAGGTGAATCGAGATTGAGAAGAGACCAAGTGGGTAAAACTTGAAGAGTAATTTCTTTCCTTATATACTCTGCGCCGCTGCCAGAAGTAATTAAATTAAATACATTTAACCATCAACAAGTTGGGCAAGGCAAACAAATTATGTAACCCTTTCATTATGAACACAAACAAGAGAAGGTCAAAAGAGAAAATAACCAAAAGTATACCTCATGTCCATATTAGAGCGGTGCATAGCTTCTTGCATCCCTTCTGACATATCCATGGGGTCAATATCAACAACTGCAATGTCCAAATTTGCTGTGGGGCCACTCGATCTAGAACTCCCACCTCCAGAATAACTGGCATCAGCATTTGCAAAGAAATCCCCCAACTCGGAAGGTCTTCCTGTACCCTAGTAAATAAAAACCATTTCCTCAGATCAAGGATAAGGATAAAGAAAAGTTCATGCAAACACCATATGCTGCCACCTTGAACAGTTTGCCACCAATAGGTAACTAATTCTTACTGAATAGGGCAAGCTCAACTGAGAGCAGCAACCAAATACAGTGAAAATATATTCAGTAGCCAGAAACAAACCAAAACATCATTGAGACCTTTCACATGTTATTCACAGGATTTCAACACAGATTACCAAGCATGTAGACAAGTAAATACTTCAGAATTAAATTTCAAGTCCCAGCTTCAAGGAACAAAAAATCGCAATACCTTCAGGGATGCTGCTACTAATTTGGAATCACCAGTGTCTTGTTCAGGGCTGTCACCTCTACCTGACCCAGATTTCACTAATGCGTTTTCTGAGGTGCTTAGTGATGATTCAACGTCTATATAACTTCTATTTACAACTGATACCGGTATAGGCCCTGATATATTATTCTGCCTCCCATCTGATGACTGGAATGCAATTACCTGGATTCTTCCAACCTGAAAGGAAAGCAGAAACAAATATCCTTTAGCAAAGATACAATATATATTTGAGAAGAGCACGAACAAATTAGCACATGCAAAGCAAATACCTTATTTGTGTCTTCACTGAAACAAGAAAATATTAAACCAATAAATCCAGGATCCAAAAGTTGATACATAGCCTGAGTCCGCACATCTGCAAAAGTTGATAATTGCCTTAAAATTCCAGCCACCACAGGTTCAAAACTAAAAAGCTGCAAGTCATTGATCATCCAAACTACACACAGCAATCTAAAGATCTTTCCCAAAAATAAAAATCTGCAAGTCCCTGATCATGAAAACTAGACAATAACCTAGATACACGTTTCCATAAATTATAGTTATTTTCTCTGTTAGTTAACACTTTATAAGGTAACCAAGTATTTCATTTTGTTATTCAAAAGATAGCATATTTGTATTTCTGTTGGTCGTGTCATTCTTACACTTCATCCAGTAACTTTTGTGTTATCCACATAAGGAGAACTAACATTCAAACCCACCTAATGTGAGAGAGAAATCTATCTTCCTAGCATTGACAGAAGAAGACTAGTTGCCCTCACAACCAGACTAGAAGATGTGATTGATTACTTATGGTCCTATCGAACAGAACATGCTTACCAACATGAGAAGGAAGCACTGTAATATGAGGATGTGAATGGTACCACCCTATCACTCTTGTTGTTTTACCTGTCGTTGCAGTCATCCTGTGCTGTGAAGTTAATGGGAAACCTTGGCAAAACAATCATTGACAACCCTGATTGCATACTTCTAAAAGCCTCATACTTAACCAAATAACACATCAATTAGCGGTAGAGAACCCTAGGATGTAGAGCTCCAAATAATACTAAGAAACATATCTCTCGCATTTAAGCATTCAAGACTCACAAAGCTATCCTAGCATTCAATCGATATGTGAAATTTTTCAGAGCACACTTCAATACCTGGCAACCAGACTAATAGCAAGTAAATTTAGCACAAGGAAAATGTCACAAAATAAGATTAACGATAAGGATATCTCAGCCTGGGCAGACGCAGCAGCCAACTGCTCCGGATTGGTCTCGACCCTGTCCTTTCGGCGATCAGACCGTGACTGAGGTGATGCTCCCCAAATAAGTGCGTTCACTCTGCCATTTTTCAAGTACTGACATTCCATTAATTAGCATGAATTGCAATTCCTAAAACCGAATTGGCAAAACAATAAGGCCTACACTTTCTTCTGGTAAAACTAATATTCTCTCTCACCCAAACCAACAACAATCATCCGCTGGAATTCAACAGAAGTTGATTCAGTTCAAAACCATGCATTCTGAGAAAGTTAACGGCCGTTCATAATCATATATTCCCCCCTAGTTAACCCCACTAGGGCACCTAAGGCTCAATCGATCGGCTTCAAACGAAGAACCGCAAAGATTCACGAGCCAAAAATCACAAGGTAAGTGGACAAGAAGAAAAGATGTCAGATTGAATGGGAAACCTCAATATCGCCGAGGAGAAGGCCCATGATCTCCTCGGTCTCGGTAGACAAGGCGTGGGTGAGACAAGTCAGCCACACATCCTCCGACATCTTCACGCCAGTGAGAGACATACTTCCTCTCGCTGAAACTGTCTGGTAATGTTCCGATGAATCTGGTTAAGGTTTTCCGGGGATCCTATACCAGGGTTTGTGTTGGAACAAGCTTTTGGCTAGGATTGAGAGAAGCATTCGGGTGGGAGCCGAATTACGGGCTGGAGCAACAGCTGGACTTTCGAATTTCGATGCTACACAGAGACAGGAACCAACAGTTCGCCACTCGATCGACTCGGAAACGCTTTTAGATAATTGTATATCAAGGGATAATGGTATATGTGGTACTTGTATTGTGGTATTCGACCAAACCGATACATGTATTAATAGTTTTAACAAACAAGTCCACGTCTTTTCCATTGAAGTATTTACTAAGCATCAATGTTTCTTTACGCGCCAAATCCACAGCTTTGGACTGATCATATCAACTAGACGTGGCAAATGGATTGGATTCATGGATTGATTGGTGGATTTATGGATCAAATGGATTGGATTTAAATGGTTTGGATTAGGTGGATTGGATTGAAAATTGCCACCTCTAATATCAACTATTGTCTCACAAGTGAATGCATCAATGTTCTTCTACAACTACGCGATAGATGATACATATGGCTAGTCGGGAAAGTTAATCTGCTAACTTGAAAATTCGTCAGCTGATACTAACTTGTTTGAGCCCGGGCGACTGGGCGTCACTCGGGTCCAAGGGGTTTGGGGTGTCAGCCATGACCTTGAAAGGGTAGGCGCCCCGCCTCGTCCGAAATAAGAGAAGAGGAAGTGTATAGAGAGAGAAAGTAGAGAGAAGTAGTAGTAAGTGTAGATGGATTATCATTTATGAGGAGAGAACTCCTATTTATACACATTTGAGGGGTAGGTAGTGGTCTGGGCGCCTGCCAAGCCATAAATGCTCTGGTCGGGCGCCTCAGACTCTCTGACACTGTTCATAGTCCTTTTGGCAGAGGGTGTCCCCCTGCCCCTTGTCCTTGCTGATGTAAGGTGCCTGGGTTTGTCTCTTGTCCCCCAGCCTTGTCTTTTTCCTCTTGTCTTCTTTCCTTCTCCATGTCATTAGCCATGGTATTAATCCCTTGATTACTATGATACCCTATCAATTGCCCCTTTTGGCGATGGCGCAAGCAGTGTGGCATCGGCAAACAAGTATGTTCTAAGAAGGTCTAAAAAATAAAGCTGAAATGAAGGTCAAAAAGAAAAATGAAAAATAAAAAATAAAAGATGAAAATAAAAATGAAAATAAAAATAAAAATAAAAATGAGCATAGGAAAGAATTAAACAGAGTATCCATACAAAATATAAATGAAGAATGCGAGTGCGCAAATACCCATTCGCAAGGATAACGCCTCTGAAATCATGGAGGTTTTTAAAAAAGTTTTAGGGGAGGATGTGAAGGCGCTACCCCAAATAGACTACTTGTGGTGGCAGTGGGCTAAACCCACCACCAGGCTTAGGATAGGCAAATTTGAGAGGGGGTGGATGGGTTGGGCTTTAGAGAATGGCCTGCATTGAGGAGCGCGCTCTCTCTCCCCCACCCCCTATTTAAACTCTTCTTCGCCACTATTCATTTTTTTTTTCATTCGGCCGCCCTCTCTCCTCTCCTTCTTTCGCTGTTGCTTGCTTTCCCCGGCGCCTCTTCCCCCTTTCCGCCGGCGCCTCGCTTCTTTTAGTTAGGCGCCTCGCTCTTTTCAGCTTGGCGCCTTCTGCTCTTGGCCGGTGCCTCTGCTCCATTAGGTAAGCGCCTCTCCTTTCCTCTCGATGGTTGTTTGTCTTGGTTAGTTGTTTGGGGTCGGCGCCTCCCTTGTATTTGCTTCTTTGGTTCGTTGGTTGGCGCCTTCATTGTATTTGTTTCTTTAATTCGTTGGTAGGCGCCTCTATTGTTTTTGCATCTTTGGTTCGTTGTTTTTCAAAGGCGCCTCTCCTCTTTCATTGGCTCGAAAAATGATTGTTTTGGTGTGGGCGCTTTGCCCTATCGAAGGCGCCTAGGTTTACAATTTAGCCGATGTGGTGTTATCCTTTGGTGAGCCCTTCTCCCCTTTCGTTGATCCTTTTCGAATGGACAATCCTTTTCAACGATTCCTAGGCGCCCTTGATACCTTGGTGGAGGACGCCTGTTGGGGATCTTTCTTTTTTCCGAGGCGCCTCTCCCTCTCCGTTATTTTTCAAGGCGCCTCTCCCTCTTCTTTTTTCAAGGCGCCTCTCCCACTTCTTTTTTGCCAATCTTCGGCGCCTTTGAAGCCCTGCGAATCCTCGGCTCCTTTGAGGCGCCACCCTCCTATTCTACGCGCTGCTTTTATTTGTGAAATCTGTTGTGTTCTTGCTTTGACTCTGTTATGTTTGTTTCAGACTTCTGTTTAAAGGCGTCAAAGGCGCCTACCCACGTATAGTCACGGGAGGCGGCAGTGGTTTTCTTCCCGCGCGTTACCGGATTAGGCGTTGTACACATTTCTCTTCCAGGATTCATTTCGCTGCTCATCACTCTCTTATGGCTTCCAATAATTCTCAACCTTCTGCCTCTAAGAAAGGAAAGGAGAAGGCTTCTTCAAGCAAAGTCAGGAAAATGGGTAAGCTATGCTCTCTCTTTTTGGTTATCTTTAATATCGTGTATTTGCTGCTTGGGAATCTTAGCGGATCAAAACAGTGTATAGACGGTCCAAGTGGAGACTTGCCGAGATTGCTAGTGACATCGAGGATGATTAATCATATACCCGTCTGGAGGTGCTTACTGAGGATGATACATCAAGTGCGGACCCCGACCCTGGCACGTCTTGTTCTCGGACGGTTACTGATTCAGGCTATACTATCTTGCCATGGCGGGGGATGTGGGGTGGTGAGGCGCCTCCTTCTTCGGCGCGCCTACTAGGTCCTGACAAGCGACCCATCATTCAACTGCATCGCGTTGTTTCTTATATCCGCGGCCTGGGTTACCCTACAGACTGGGGATATGCGGTTCCGGATCGTAGTGCTCGCATCGGGAGTTGCCCCGAGGGTTGGTTTGCGATTTACTCGGAGTATCTGAAGTGTGGTTTGAAGTTTCCCTTGGATCCCATCTTATCGGGTATTTTGGAGATGGTTGGGTGTCCTCTCAGCTTTCTGTCTCCTTCGCTCATCTTTCATACCTGCGCCTTCAGGCTTATCTACAAGCGCCTAGGCTACATCCCCTCACTCTCTATCTTCCGTAGTATATATGCCTTGGAGCGGGGTAAGCATGGTTGGTCGGCCGTGAAGCGTGATAGTAAATATCAGGGACGGGTTTGCAAGGGATCGCCTAAGCTCCCTAGTAAATGGTATTGCTCTTACTTCTTTGTTAGGCCGACTCCCGGTACTTGGCATGCACCAACTTCGGCGCCTCTTTCGACTCTGTGGGGTGAGGGTTCGGAAGAAACGTGGGCCAAGGATTTTACCCTTGAGAAGCCTAAGCGGGAACAGAAGCACCACATTCTTCGTGCGCCTCCCGTGGATTTTGGGAGAAAAGGGGAGAGAGCGCGCGCCTTAGGAGAACTTTACGACCATGGTATATTTCTTTCGAATGATTTTATTCTATCTCTCAACTTATGGTATTTGCATAACTTTTTTTTTTTGCAGATTTTGACTACTCGAGCCTGGCGAAGATGGCGAAGAAGACTCCTGGCGCCTCCGGGGTCAGGACGCAGAAGGCGCCTAGCACCCCTGCTGAGCGAACTCCCCGCTCATCTGGTAAGGCGTTTGCCGACATCGAGGAGGCGTCTCCTCGATTGTTTCCTTCCTTGGGGTCCCGCGACCCTCTCCCGGAGAAGACGTTAGGCAAGCGCCCTGCCTCGGCCGCCTCTCCTGCTGTGGTTCCTAAGAAGAAGAACAAACCAAGTCTTGGGAGTATTGATGAGATTTTGGCACCACCTCGTTCGCGACGTGCCGTAAAGCCGAAGGAGCCTGTTCCAATCTCTCCATCTGCTGCCCTCAATGCTCCAAGCGCCTTTACTTCGGCCGTGGAGTTGAAGAATTTCTTGCAGCATCCCCTTGACGAGGGTACCTCTCCTGCAGGCTCGGCGTGCCAGCACTTGTTCCAGGTATGCTCTCACTCTTTTACTATTAATGGATCATGCTTCGTTACTAATCATTGTTGTTTCTTGTCTAGGCGATGCTTGATGTGGTTGCTCTTTCTGACAAGAGTGCGGAGAATCGAGACCGCGCCCATAAGAACTTTCTGCAGGCTTCTCAGTTGAAAACTGACAAGATTACTCTCCAAGGCGTTAACTCTCGTCTGGAGGATGAGTTGGCATCGGTGAAGCGGCAGCTTTCGGACGCCTTGGCTGCTGAGAGTGTTTCTGCTCGTGAAGAGAAAGAGAAGGAGATAGCATTCCAGGCGAAGCGGATTGAGGCCTTGGAGAAGGAGCTGTTGGCGATGTCTGCCGCTAGGGGTCACCAGAAGGTAAGTTCTCTTGTGTCTTTCTTGCTCTCCCTTTATACGAGCTAAGCGCGTAAACCTTTTCTTTCAGGAGGAATTTAAGAAGAGGCTGATCAAGGAGCGTGAAGATGCCGTAGACGCCCACCTGTCATCAGCAGAGTTTCGTGAGTGGCAGCAGAACCTTCTGCTCGGGGTGAAGAAGAGGGCTTTCATCGGCATTCGTAAGAAGGTCCGCTCCGATAATCCTGGCATGAAGTGGGATACTCCGGAGGTCTGGCAGGCTATGGATGATTACTTCATCTCCCTTGGTACGGATAACGAGCCTTCCGACTCAGACCCGTACCCCTTGGATGAGGGTGACTCTTCTGCCGATGACGTGGAGGTTGACGTCGAGAAGGTTGGGGAAGAGGAAGTGGGTGACAACGTCGATGCCAATGCTGGTGCCGGGGAAGGTGGTGAGGATATGGTTGCTGTCGATGGTCAGGGCGGCGCCTCGGATGGTGGTACCGATGGTGACTCTAGCTCGTCCGACAATCACTCAAGCAAGTCGGACTAGTAGAGTCAGGATGTTTTTTCTTTTCCTTGTTTGTCTGGACTCGGTCCATTTTATGTTATCTTTTGCTTATTTATCCCTTGCACATCTGTGGATGCTTAGCTTTCGGGTTGTTATTTTGAACAATGTTATCGGCACGTTTTTTGTTTTCTTGGATTCGTTGTGAATGTTGTTTTTGTTTCGTCATGTTCTTTAAAAAGTACCGCGTCTAGGCTTCTCCTCAACGGAGGAAGCAAGCTCTAGGTCTCTTCGCACGCATTCTTGAGAAAGAAGTAACGTGTCTAGGCTTCTTCTCGACGAAGGAAGCGAGTTTTAGGCTTCACGTATTCTTGAAAAAGAAATAACGCGTCTAGACTTCTTCTCGACGAAGGAAGCAAGTTTTAGGTCTCCCATGCGTATTCTTGAAAAAGAAGTAACGCGTCTAGGCTTCTCCTCGACGGAGGAAGCGAGTTTTAGGCTTCACGTATTCTTGAAAAAGAAGTAACGTGTCTAGGCTTCTTCTCGACGAAGGAAGCAAGTTTTAGGTCTCCCATGCGTATTCTTTAAAAAGAAGTAACGCGTCTAGGCTTCTCCTCGACGGAGGAAGTGGGTTTGGGTGACCCCTTCTGCCGAGGCAGGAATTTTTTGCGAGGGATATCAGTTTTATCGCCTCTCATGGGGACTCGTACAACGAGCGCCCGATACTTGGATGAAAACCAAGTGTAAGCATTGGAGCTCCTCTGACGGTCTGCCGGAAGGCTATCTTGAGCCGCGTCTGATTTCTCTTACGTGTACTCCTGAAAAGGATGTGACACGCTCGGGCTTCTTCTTGACGAAGAAACCGAGTTGGCGAAGACTCTACCTGCTGAGACAGGAACAACTTTGCTTTGCTGAATAGTGAATCTCCATTCCTTTGGCCAGATAGGGCCAGGGTGTGTCCCTTTACCCGAAAATTCCGAATATTACAAATTAAAACCGAACGAAAAGGGACTCTATTAGGGTGTCTTTGGGTTACGCTCTTTTGAAAGCGTCCCTCTTCCCTACAAAAGAAAATGTCTACCTTTGAAGTAAAGCAAAAAGAAAACACTTGAATCTTCCTTAGGGTGTCTTCGGGCTACGCCTCTTTGAGAGCGCTCCTCCTCCCTACAAAATGTTAAATCTTCCGATTACTCCTCCTGTGCCTCTTGCTCGCACACGTACTTTCTCAGATGCCTTGCGTTCCAGGTTTTGCTGACGCGTTCTGCTTCCATGGTGGCGAGCTTGAAAGTACTTGGTCCTATCACTTCCCTTACGACGAAAGGTCCTTCCCATTTAGCAGCCAACTTTCCACGATTGGGGTTAGGGCGAAATACCTTTCTCAACACAAGGTCTCCCTCTTCGATGTGATGAGGCTTCAGTTTTGAATTGTAGTATTTTGCCAGTTGCTCCTTGTCTTCTACCAGCTTCCGAAGTGCTCCTATCCTTCTCTCATCTAGCATGTCTAGCTCATGAGCCATGCTGACATTGTTTCCTTCATTGAAATATTGAACACGCAGGGTGGGCAACGCAACTTCCGTGGGAGTCACCGCTTCCGCACCAAAAGTTAGGGCGAATGGAGTTTCACCCGTAGAGCTTTTTGGAGTGGTGCGAAGCGCCCATAGTACATGGGGGAGTTCCTCTACCCAATTTCCCTTATGCTCTTGGAGACGCTTCTTGAGTCCTTGAAGTATGGTTTTGTTTGCTGCTTCCGCCTGTCCATTCGCTTCTGGGTATGCTACGGATGAAAGCTTAAGCTGGATATTGTATTCCTGACAAAAGTCTGCGAAGGATGTGCAGTCAAATTGCTTGCCATGATCAGTGACGATGGAATTGGGAATGCCGAATCGCGCAAGTATGTTGTTGAAGACGAATCTTTCGACTTGTCTCGCCGTGATAGTGGCCAATGGCTCAGCTTCGATCCACTTCGTGAAGTAGTCTACTGCCACGATAAGGTACTTCCTTTTTCCTGAAGCTTTGGGGAAAGGTCCTACTAGGTCCATTCCCCATTGGGAAAAGGGCCAGGGACTGACGTTTCCTTGCATTGCCGTAGCTGGGAGGTGATGTTCTTTGGCATGGGTCTGGCATGCATGACATGCCATAGTGAGTTGCTTCGCATCATTTCTCATGGTTGGCCAGTAGTACCCTTGTAATTTAAGCGTTCTTTCCAAGCTTCTCGGCCCTCCATGTCCACCACACACACCCTCGTGAATCTCACGGAGAGCCCACTTCGCCTTAGCCTTTCCTAGACACCTAAGGTATACTCCTTCGTACGACCGTCGGTGTAGCTCCGAGCCGATGATGGTACAACACGCCGCTCTCCTTCTTACTCCCGTGGCTTCTTTTGGATCTGTTGGAAGGGTATCATTCATGAGGTATTCAACGATTGGCACTCTCCAATCCTGCTCTTCCTAACCGACATTAATACTATTCACCCCCATTCCTGGGGTGATTGGGCTTTCCTTCTCGACAATCACATGTCGCTCCTCCTCAAAGTCAACGGCGGTAGCTAGCTTGGAAAGCGCATCTGCATGCGCGTTATCCCCTCGTGCTATGTGGGATAGTTTCTAATCCTCGAAAACTTGTGCTCTCTTCTTTGCCTCTTCCACATAGCGCAGCAAACAATCTTCTTTGACTTCAAATTCTCCCAACACCTGTCGAACCACCAGTGCGGAGTCAGAAAAAATATCTAGGCGCCTCGCCCCTAACTCCTCCGCAATGCGCATGCCGTTGATTAGTGCTTCGTATTCGGCCGCGTTGTTGGTCTTGAGTGTCGAGAATCGCAGGGCTACTTCGTGTGTGACACCCCCCGGTGTTTCCAAGACTATGCCGGCGCCTGCACCTGTCTTACTTGCCGCTCCATCAACGAACAGCTTCCACCTCCCTTCATCGGTGCCTGTAGGCTCGATCGTACCCTCTGCTACGAAATCTGCCAGGATTTGGGCTTTGATGGAAGGGCGAGGAGCGTATTGTATGTCAAATTCACTTAGCTCAACTGCCCATTTGGTTAGGCGCCCTGAAGCACTTGTACTATGCAGAATTCTTTTCATTGGCAGGTTGGTCAGTATGGTGACCGTGTGTCCTTGAAAATAAGGTCTCAGTTTTTGGGCGGCAGTTACCAATGCCAGGGCTGCCTTCTCAATGATTGGATACCTCCTTTCGGTTGGTAGGAGCGTTTTGCTGATGTAATACACTGGCTGGTCTGCAAGAGTTTCAGAGTGACGCCTGACGAGCACCGCACTGATAGCTACGTCTGATATGGCAATGTAGAGGAACAAACGCTCCCCCTCCTGTGGAGCCACAAGGATAGGAGGATTCACCAGCAACGTTTTCATCTCCTCGAATGCTTTCTCACATTCTTCTGTCCATTTGAACTTGGATTTTTTCTTTAGAGAATTGAAGAGGGGAGCGCACCTATCCGCTGATCTCGGAATGAATCTATTGAGCGCGGCGAGTTTACCTGCTAATCCTTGAACTTCTTTTACTGTTCTTGGCGATTTGAGTTCGGCAATTGCCTTTATCTGCTTCGGATTGGCCTCAATACCGCGGCGAGTGATCATGAAGCCTAAGAATTGACCCGCACCTACCCCGAACACGCACTTGAGGGGGTTAAGCTTCAGATTGTGACGCCTTAGGTTCTCAAATGTCTCCCTTAAGTCGTTCAGGTGATCACCCTCTTTCTTACTTTTGATTAACACATCATCCACGTATGCTTCCAAATTTCGTCCTATCTGTCCTCCAAAGACCTTGTCCACCATTCTCTGATAGGTAGCGCCTGCATTCTTTAAGCCAAATGGCATCACTATATAGCAATAGTTCCCGTATGGGGTCATGAAAGCTGTTTTTTCTTGATCCTCTTCGCTGAGGGGGATCTGGTGGTACCCTGAAAACATGTCAAGAAAGCTTAACATCTCATGATTTGAGGTGGCATCGACTAGCTGGTCAATCCTTGGCAGTGGATATGGGTCCTTCGGGCACGCCTTGTTCAGCGAGGTGAAGTCGATGCACATTCGCCATGTCCCATTGTGCTTCTTGACCAATACTGTGTTTGCCAACCATTTCGGGTATTGCACTTCTCTAATAAAACCTGCCTTAAGCAGCTTCTGTACCTCTTCCATCATGGCCACCCTCCTTGCCAACGATGCTCCCCTCCTTTTTTGTTGTACTGGTACGCTATCTGGTTTGACGGAGAGCTTGTGTTCCATAAGATCCCTAGAGACACCTGGCATGTCTTCGAGGCTCCAAGCAAACAGATCAGCGTACTCCCTCAGCAAGTTGACCATTGGGAGACGCATGTGCTCCGGTAGATGGGCGGAGAGTCGTACAACCCGGCTCGGGTCGTCAGGGTCTAGTGGTAGTTCTATCTCTGAATCAACTGCCCCAGGGCGCGGTACTTCCGTGGGCCTAGCATCGATCGTATGTATTTTTGGCTTGTGAATGGTCGCCGCATAGCACGCTTTTGCTGTCTTTGCGTCTCCCCTGGCTATCCCCATTCCTTGGGGCGTTTGGAATTTCATCGCCTGGTGGCAGGTTGATGCTACAGCTCCGAACCGAGCTAGGAAGGGCCTCCCTAGGATGGCATTATATGCGGATGGGCAGTCGGCAATGTGGAAGTCCACTGGGTGCGTGGCACTTGGTTCTTCGTCTCCCACCTTGACTCTTAAACGCGCAGTCCCCAGTACCTTCACCTTTGCTCCAGAAAAACCGACAAGTTGGGCTTCTGAGGCTTTCATGACCTCAGGAGGTGCTTGCATTTGGCGCCAGCAGGAATAGAACAGTATGTCGGCGGAGCTCCCACTATCTACCAGCACTCGGAACACCTTGTACCCCTCTACCTGTATGTTGATGACAAGGGGATTTTCAGACGGGCCCTCCGGGGGATAATCTTGTGACGTAAATGACAAGTCGGGACCCTCTTGCTTTGCGATCTTCATACACCATGTGTTACTTGCTTGCCCTTGCGCTTCTTCCTTCGGTCGGGCTCCCCTCCTGCGATGGTTCTTATCTCTTTAACGTTTGGGTTAGGTCCCAGGCGCTCCTGTACTGGCGGTCTTGCGGCTGGAGAGCGGCTGCGCTCCCGTGGAGACCGATTTCCTTGTTCTGCTTTCTGGAACATTTCTCTTACTCCTCCCCGATCAGAGATTATCTTAAGTGCTTTTTTGAAATAGTGGCAATCAACGGTGTTATGGGTGCGAGAGTTGTGATACTCGCAGTACATATCTGCCTGACCTCGAGGTTGGTTTGCATTCTCGCGGTTGGTTCGGTCTCGGCGAGGTTCTTGTGAATTTGCAAGAACGTCCCTTCTTACCCAGACATTGGGACGTCGGGCATCATCCCGTCGATCTGGACTCCTCCTTCTGGTTCTAGGCGCCTCACCTCTCCCATTCTGAGCTGGGCGCCTGGACCCACTTCCTTGCTCCTCTTCCTTTGCCCCTAGCGCCTCCTCCATGAGAATTGCTTTTTGAATCTTTTCTTCTAACTCAGCTACCTGTCGTATTTCTCGTTTGGCTAGGGAGCGCCTTAGTTCTTCATTAGTACTTGCATCCATTAAATTGGTGCGCATGAGTGGAGGGGTTAAGTCTTTGACGTCGGCCGCGACTTCCCACCATCGCCCCATGAAGTGCCTGAGGCTCTCCCCCTTCCTTTGTTTAAGATTGACAAGCGCACGAACCGTCAGCGTTTGTTTCTTTTGGCTTGCATACTTTGTTGTAAATAACAAAGCGAATTGGGAAAAACTCTGAATGATGCCCTCTGGGAGTGAGGAGTACCAACTACTGCATCCCCCGGTGAAGGTTGAGGGGAACGCCTTGCACAAAGCAGCGTCGGACGCATTGAGGAGTTGCATCTTGCGACAGAACGTACTTAGGTGATCTTCTGGGTCAGATTTTCCGTCGTATGAGGGTAGGCCGATGCTTGCGAAGTTTGATGGAATTGGTGTTTTGAGTACCCCCTTTGACAACGGCTGCTTAATAATTTGGGCGCTCCTATCTTCCGAGGCGCCGTAGTTAAGCCGAGCGTACTTCTCCATGTAGATGTCAGTGTCAGCTTCCATTGCGTCTTCATTTGGCAAGGCGCCCACACCCTCCCGTGGGGAGTTCGTGGGTGCCGCCTCAACCTCCTGCATTTTCCCTCGGAGGCGCCTCCTCTCTTCTATGGCTTCTTGGGGGTTCGGAGGCGCCTGGTCGTTGACCTTTGTTAGCGCCGTTAACGCGGTCATGACTTGGTCTAGTTGGCCTTGCATGCTTGCCATTTGAAGCGCTTGCTTTTTCCGAAGCTCCGCTAGTTGCTCCTCTAGGCGCTCGGCGCCTTCTCCGTCTCCTGGTGGGTCGTCGTCATCGGACACTTCTAAGCCTTGGATGGTGAGCGGTTGGGGGTTGATTGCCTCGCGCCCAACCACTTGCTTGAGAGGGGTCTTTGTTGGTACCGGACTCCTTTCTTCTCCCTTCTTTGAGTTGGAAGCGTCTTTCAAAGTCATGCTTGGCCCCACGGTGGGCGCCAATTGTTTGAGCCCGGGCGACTGAGCGTCACTCGGGTCCAAGGGGTTTGGGGTGTCAGCCATGACCTTGAAAGGGTAGGCGCCCCGCCTCGTCCGAAATAAGAGAAGAGGAAGTGTATAGAGAGAGAAAGTAGAGAGAAGTAGTAGAAGTGTAGATAGATTATCATTTATGAGGAGAGAACTCCTATTTATACACATTTGAGGGGTAGGTAGTGGTCTGGGCGCCTGCCAAGCCATAAATGCTCTGGTCGGGCGCCTCAGACTCTCTGACACTGTTCATAGTCCTTTTGGCAGAGGGTGTCCCCCTGCCCCTTGTCCTTGCTGATGTAAGGTGCCTGGGTTTGTCTCTTGTCCCCCAGCCTTGTCTTTTTCCTCTTGTCTTCTTTCCTTCTCCATGTCATTAGCCATGGTATTAATCCCTTGATTACTATGATACCCTATCATAACTGATATTCAAAATACATGAATTCATATCCAAGTACTAAAGTATCTAGAGAGCACAGACTAGTATTCAAAGTTTGCTAACTAATATCCACCATGAATCAACTATTATCTCAAATTCACAAACCAATATCTAGACAACACATAATAGTATCCAAAGAGCACATAATTAGTATCCAGATAACACATAAGACTATCCATATTGAATACTAGTTGGTTGATTGTGGATATTAGTTGGTACCTGCTATCTGGATACTAGTTGTGATGTTTTGAATACTAGTCTGTGCTATCTAGATACTCAGCAGACTTGGATATTAGTTCATACATTTTGGATATTAGTTAGTATATACTAACGAATCTTCAAGTTAGCAGAATAACTAGGATGAGTTAGAATGTCTAGAAACACGGATCTCTCCATTACTCATTCGTGGAGTTTTTTCCAAAGTAATCATGTTTTTAAAACAATTGTCAAGATTGCGCACTACACATGTATTGACCAACTCGCTCGAGAGTCTCGAGCGAGCTTCACGTGGATCGCTATGAACAAAAGCGAAGCAGGATTGATCATTGTACGGGGGAGCGATGAACAATTGGTCACTACAGTCCGCAGCGATCTAGCTCCGAAATTGTTGCAGACTCCAGCAAGTTTCACCTTACATACGTTCCAACTTCAAATGGTCGTAACTTTGTGCTCGATTATCCGATCTACGCAAAAAGATTCTTTATTTCCTACAACTTTGCTAGATCTTCGCATCTTCAAGCCTCCATCAACGCAGAAAAAGGGCTTTTGCTGTTGCAAGTCAGTCATTTTGTGATTCGGTAAACCTCGTATAATCCTAAGTTTGCACTCGAAATGGGTAAATTGCAAGGTTGGTCACTGGAAGTACTAAAAAATTCACGTTTGGTCACTAAAAGTATTTTATTCTATTCCTAGTCACTAAAATTGGGTCTTCAGTTGAAGTTTGGTCACTCTCCGTTAGTCTCCGTTAAATTTAGCTCATGTGGCAGTCAACTTTGATAGTTGACCGTTAAATGAATGACGTGGCGATTAAAAAATAAATAATAAATAAAATTTAAACTTTTACAGTTTTCACATCATTTTAAAAACTATAAAAATAATTTTCTGCAATCCAAAACAGGTTCGGGAGTCACTGTCGATTGTCCTGCAGGCTGCAGCCGAATTCCCCCGAAGGGAATTCGATCAGGGGTGGCGGAGGGGGATTCACTTCCGAATGGTGAAGCTGGGGTAGGAGAGCGGGAGAAACTGTCGGGATTCGATGGATGAAGGGGCGAGTTGGAGGAGGAAGAGGAGGAGGACGATCCTGAGGTGGCGCCGTCGATTCAAGGGAAGAAGAAGTGGCGGCGAGGGAGCCCGTGGCTATCCTGAAGGAGGTCTGAATCGCACTTCGCAACCTCACCACCAAATCGGCTTAGACTTCAACGTTGACTGTCTCCTCTCAATGGGGTTTTGTTTCCCTCCTTCTCATAATCGACTCTGCCGTTAACCGCTAGAAAGATTCACCGGTCGAATATGAGTTTAAACAACTCGGATTCAGGCTTCAATTGAAGCGAAGAAGTCGGAGACCAATATGGGTTTCACTACAAACTCAAGTCAAGAATCCAACCTCGTTGGGGAGAGCGGCAGTTACGGTGATGTCGGAGCCTCCCTTGTTCCCAAATTCGAGCTCGCCGGCTCGCCGCCATATGAGTTTGCTGATATTGGGAGTGATTCAATTGAAGGGGAGGCCAACAAGACTAGCTTGAGCCAGAGACGGCGGGCGTACCTACTATCATACACATCGCCACCGCCCTTGCCGCACAAGATCTGCGGCAGCGGCGACGAAGCTTCTTCCATGCAACCGCCTTCACTTGCTGCTATTATTGCCTCTCCCAAACTGAAAATCGTTGTCCCTTTGGATCCCATTGATCTAGCCTCAAACTCTTTCAGTAATCTCCCTCCCCCAATTGACGATATAACTTACGTTAGGTTTTTTTTTTTTTTTAATGAATGTGATAATGAGGGGGAAAATGTAAAAAATTATATTTTATTTTTTAAAATCTTTTTTAATTGTCACATCATTCATTTAACGGTCAACTATCAAAGTTGACAGCCACATCAGCTAAATTTAACGGAGAGAGACCAAATTTGAACTGAAGACCTAATTTTAGTGATTAGGAATGGAATCAAATACTTTTAGTGACCAAACATGAATTTTTTAGTACTTCTAGTGACCAACCTTGCAATTTACCCCATCGAAATCAACACAACTTTTTTCATAATTTTTCAAGGACTAGAACTTTTGTTATATGAAAATATTTTCATAAATTTTCCTAAGTTTGCACTCGGAATCAACACAATTAAATTAGAGCCACATCACTTTTGTTAGCAACAAGTTACATAGATCGCTTCCCTCGCTATTCTATAAAGCAATCAACATACAAATCGTTAATCGTTCGAGTCTCAAGCAATCTGGTCAAATATGTATAGTCCGAGAATCTTTTCCTAAAATTTTGTATTTTGAGGATTTTTTTAACTTAATATATTTCCTGGTGGCTACTTCGGCGCACTCACTTTTTTGGGTGCATTCAGTGCACCCACCTCTAAAAGTGGTCATAATACATTAAATTTTGAAATTTAATGGTAGCATTAGTCTCATATGATGATATAACACAGAAGCACAACTAATCAACCAATAACCCTAACCTATTAACCTTCAATTTTGAATCTCAACCCAAAATCCCAAATTGTAAACCCTAACCATAACCCTAAATTCCTAAACCCTCAATCATTCAAATTAAAGTGAATCTTGGAATGATTTTTGTACAAATTCATGTGATTCTTGTTCATCATACCACAAGGGATGATTGACATTGTTTTCACATGAATCGCTTGCTCAGAATGACGATTATGAGGCGGGTGCATTGAATGCACCCAAAAAAGTGAGTGCACCGAAGACATAACCTATATTTCCTTATCCAGTCATATATGCATTACAAAATAAAACCCGCTAAAGCGGATTTTCTCTCCAAAACTCTCGTCTCTCTAACTGACAAAATCTGACACTGCCAAAAGACCAAGAGATTGCTAGCGTGCCTTCAACGTGAAACCTAGGGTGCCCCCTGCATAAACAACACATATATGACATTGCTGATGTCGCTTTATCAAACGCCAGGGTATCTTAGATCAAACATCCATGCCCTCGCTGCCTTCACTTTCAATCAGCCCGTCAAAGGGTTCATTTAGAACGATATCTTCATCATCAGTCTCCATAGCATCATCTTCTTGTTCGCCATCACTTTCATCGTCATCCTCGTAAATTATCGGAACTATTGGTTCATCTTCTTCAAGGCTATCATCGACAATCTAATTGTCCAGAAGACAGAATAACAAGAGGATAAGTTAAGTTATATCGTTTCAATAGAGGCAAGGTTGACAAATTTGTAATGCCTTAACTAAAAAATAACAAGTGGTTTAATACACAGTAAAGAAGAAGCATACCCCTGCATATAATGAGTCTATGTGACTTGACAACTGAAGAGCCGACTGGAAGGTTGACACTCGTGAATCAATCACCTGTAGCAAAATAAGACAACCAAAGGTTTCAGCATACTCAAAGTGGATGAGGAAGCTACTAATACAGGCGTAATGCACTTCCGCTATCACACCTGGTTCAAAGAGTTGAGAGACCGAAACGAGGACTCCTGAGACATTATTCCACTTGCATGCTGAAGAAGTAAGCTTCTCAACCATGGAATAGCGCAAGCAACAACTGCGCCCCTACAATAATTTCCAACAGAAGCTTAAGTTATATATGTATCGGGGGCTTTGGCCCACTAAAAACAAGGTTGTTCCCATAGCCTTCTTATAAGAACTTACAATATCTGAATCACAATTTCCACATAGCTCACAACCAATGTGCAATAAAAAGGAAAAAAGAAATGAAAAGATTCCTGTGTGGATTGTCAATGGCATGCATCAAGTAGACTGTTGGACTTCCAATTAACTATGAATTGCTACAAAAACTTGCGTAAATGCTATATGATACTAGGATCCCATAAGATGAGTAAGCAATTACCTGGCTTCGATTATAGTTACAAGAGAGTGTAACAGCTTGAGGACATCCGCCATACTCAAAGTGGAGATTGATTTTGCAATAACCTACAACCATAAGAGTTTCATGATGATCAACCTCACAATCTTCCTTCGTAATAACAATCACTCCAGATGCCAACACAGAAAGTACAGTTTTAAGAAACGAAGATCAAACAAAAAGCTGAGATCTTTTCCATGGTCAGTCCTAAAATAAAAATTATGTATCTATTGCATCCCTGCTAGCAAAACGAACAAGAGAAATACACGACAAAAAAGAAGGAAGAGCACAGACCTTCTCATCTTGTGTATATAAGCAATCTAGGAGAAGTGAGCGGTCATCAGCGTGAAGTGCTTGCTTAAGCAGAATGTTGACAGAATCAGCACTTGGAGGTTTTTCACCAGGTACCAATTCTTGGTCCTCCCCACCCTTGGTTGCACCCTCTTTTAACTCTAAACTCTCAAGTTTCTCACCCATTGTTGGCTCAAGTGAATCATCATCTTCAACAAGGACTCCATCCACAGCTTCATTATGATCTATTGCAAAGGTTGCCATTCAGTCAATGCCATACATACATAACCAGAGAACTAACATCCAAGAACAAAGGGAAAACAAAAACCTACTTCAGTTCCAAGCCTATGAAAATTCTAATCATAAATGCACGGGATGGGCAACATCCATAACACAATGGACGGAGATAGATTATGCAGTAACAGTAGGGAGTCTAGCTAGTCCGAAATGAAGGGGCGGTAAGGGTCTACAAAAGAACAATGGCAAATCCAGAGTTCCGTCGACTTTCTCTCACAACAGAAGGCATTACAATTTACAAAGTGTGGAGCAGGAATCACCTGAAGTCGCACCATCATCCAAATGAGACGCTGCTCGTTTCTTCTTCGATTTCTTTTTCTCAACTGATACAGCTGAAGCTGTTACAACTGCTTCCCAGCCCATATAATAGGTTTTATTAGAATCAGAAACTTTCGGCGAAGTGGTAGTTGAACCGATGAAACTTCGTTCTTGTCCGGCTCCTCTTCTTCGTTTCACCTCTGCTTGCCACGGCCGGAGATGGAACGGCGGAGTGAAGCGGCACGGAAGGGTAATTACTAATTAGCGGCGATGGAGGAATCAGAAACCCGAGAGAGTACTTTTGCACCGCGCAAAAATACTCTTTCCCGGATTTGCTCATTTGAACGAAACCCTAAAAGTGGGCCGTAGCCCATATGTAACATTCATTAGCCAGATCCAAAGCAACGAAAAACTCAAATTCAACCAAAAACTCAAACTTCAGCGGGGGGTTTTCACTTTTTTACCAAACGGTGGTTTTCATTACAAATGATTTTTACAACTCATTCAAGACAATTTCGCTATGTACACACACAACATTTTGTGTGCACCAACTCAAATGGTCAGGAGAGGGCCACGTCGCCCAAGCCATCGACGGATGGGCAGGATTGATTGGTTGGTCGTAAGAGAGGAGGGGAAAATCGAAGCCGGTTGAGCCGAGCCAAATCAGAAGGGAGGGAAAGGTGGTGGGGTCGCAGCTTTGGGGTTTTGAAATTGAAAAAAAAAAAACTGCCTCATGTCTCCTCCAACCGTCTCCTCCTCCTACTCTTCTTCCTTCTCTCTGCTCCTTCTTTCTCTATTCTTCTTCTTTCTCCGTTTTTCTTTCTCTGTTTTGCTCTCGTTGAACCAGAGCAACACAGACCACCCCTCCCAAAAACAAAGAAAAGCGAGGAACACCAGAACAAGAAAAGCACGGAAGAATCCATCTTGTCGGCGACGAGCAGCCCAGTCGATAACTAGGAGAGCTTCGACGAGGAAGTATCGCCCTTCCTTGAGTTATTTGTATTTCGGCCGACCTTTCTCGCTTATTAATACCGGTGAGGACGATTCTCTCTGTCCTTTTCTTTCTATCTGTGGGGTTTTTCCTTGAATCCCCCTTTTTGCTTCATTCTTGAGTGTTTAGGGTTCACTGAATACGCGTTTAGGGTTTTTTCGGTACACCTTCAAAATCGACTCGATTTTCATGGGTATTCTTCAGAATGCGTCTTGTGTGGGCGAGATATGTGAAATTTTTGTTGACTAAGTTTTTGGGTTCTTGCTTAGAATCTGTAAATATGGTTGAATCCAATAGTAGTTGTTACCATAACCTTCAATCTATTGAATACTAGTGATTTGTGGTTTGAAAATTAGTTATATAATGTTGACTGTGTTGTTGACAAATACTAGTTCTTCTTATTTTCAATATTAGTTGTATAATGTTGACTGTGTTGTTGACGAATACTAGTTCTTCTGATTTGAGTATTGTTGTATAATGTTGACTGTGTTGTTGACGAATACTAGTTCTTCTGATTTTGAATATTAGTTGTATAATGTTGCCTGTGTTGTTGGCGAATATTAGTTATTCTGGTTTTGAATATTAGTTGTATAATGTTGACTGTGTTTTTGGCGAATACTAGTTCTTCTGATTTTGAATATTAGTTGTATTGATTGAAATTGTTTGTCTGCAGCTAGATTAATACTGTATGTTGAAAGTTCTGAATATTAGTTATCTTCATTGTGTTGTGTTTCCCCCTTTTCTGAATACATGTGTTTTTGGTCTACAGGTTTGGAATAATGGTGCGAACCAAGAAGCGTGTTCCTCGACCTATGAAACGACCGTTAGTAGATCCTCCTCCTGTTGCTGAAGATGTTCCTCCTGCTGCTGAAGATGTTCCTACTGCGTCTGAAGATGTTCCTCCTGCTATGAAATGACAACGACCCTTAATAGATCCCCCTTCTGCTGGGAAGTCTGGTGGGGAGTCTTCTGGGAATGCTGCTGCTGGGAAAGCTGCTGAAGATGTTCCTCCTCCTACTGCTGAAGATGTTCCTCTTGGTCCAGAAGATCAGGCTGCAGCAAAAAGAGTTAAGTTTGCTGCTGGGACGTCTGGTGAGACCTCTACAGGGAAGTCTGGTGAGACTTCGGTTGGGAAGTCTAGGGGGAAGTCTTCTGGGAAGAAGTCTGAGGGAAAGTCTTCTGCGAATGCTGCTACGGGGAAAGCTGCTGAAGATGTTCCTCCTCCTACTGCTGAAGATGTTCCTCTTTGTCCAGAAGATCAGGTTGCAGCAAAAAGAGTTAAGTTTGCTGCTGGGACGTCTGGTGAGACCTCTATAGGGAAGTCTGGTGAGACTTCTGTTGGAAAGTCTAGGGGGAAGTCTTCTGGGAAGAAGTCTGAGGGAAGGTCTTCTGCAAAAGCTGGGGGGAAGTCTGCTGGGAAAGCTGCTGTGGGCAAGTATGATGGGAAAGATGGGGGGAAGGCTGCTGGGAAAGGCAAGGCCAAGAAACCACATGAAACGCAGCATCGATGTCACACATCTTCATTATTGAGTGTGATTGAATTTTGGAAGAAGGATGAGGCCTACTATGAGGAATGTGAGAAGGAGCTTCAGAAGGAGGGTTTGATGGATTGCTGGAGATACGCTTGCACGGTGTCGATAAGTTTCTGTTGTGTGCAATGGCACGACACTACGATGCTATTTCTGGCAGCTTTATTTTCGGAGAGGGAGAGAATAGGAAGGTGCTGTCCTTAGAGGACGAGGACGTGGCTCATGTTTATGGCCTTCCTCACGTTGGGGAAGAAATAGTGCTGGAGAAGTGCCTGGATAAAACCAAGCTGTCGGCTTTTCAAGCCGAGATTGGGTTGGGAGGAAACAGGTGCCGGAATTTCCCTCTGAGTGATATGGTGGACAAGTTAACGGATGAGAATGCTAGGCCTCCTGTTCGTAAGGCCGTCAAGCAGTTCATCCTGCTTGCCCTTGCCTCGCTTCTCCGACCATCATGGTCACGGATTTGTGAGCTTGATTATGCGGAGTTCCTTGTTGGGAAGATTGAGCGGGTAAAAAGCTACAACTGGTCCGGCCTTGTTGTAGCTGAACTGAAGAGTAGCCTTGCTGCAGTTCAAGGAAAGGAATTTCTTGACTGGGTCCATGGAGATGTCCACTTCCTCATTGTAAGTTTTAAGTATTTGTTCTTTCATTTATGTTTTGAATATTAGTTTTATCCTGCTTGAATAATACTTTGAATGTGTTTGAATATGAGTGCGAATGTGCTTGATTATATTGAGTGTACGTTATTTGAATATGACTCTGAATTTTTTGGATATGAGTCTAGGTTATTTGAATATTACTTTGAATGTGTTTCAATATATGAGTTCGAATGTACTTGATTCTAATGTATGTTAGTTAGAATGTTTTTGAATATGTTTATTTGAATATGAGTTCGAATGATATTGAATATGTGTTCGTATGTGTTTGAATATGAGTATGGGTTATTTGAATATGAGTCAATATTTTCTGAATAGACTTGGTTATTTGAATATCAATTCAATCTGATATGAATACTACTGTGTGTGTTCTATGAATATGTATCTGAGTTGTTTGAATATCACTTTAATCTTATATCGCCATTTAAATTCTTTTTTCTCATCAATCTAACATCTTCCTCTTATTTGACTGGCAGGTCCATTTGTTGGATTTTTTGAAGGTCAAAGGTGTTGGGACCTTCATCACCCCAACCTGTAGCTACTGGTTCAAGGATCGTCAAATGAAGGTTGTTGAAGCCATCCATACCATGGGCAGTGGTGGGATAGCAGGTTTGTTGATGACAAGACGAGAAGTTCGACAGAGGTTTGGTGGTTCTGTTGAAGATAAAGGGCAAAGCAGCACACAGGCTCCATCTGCTCCTGATGCTCCTGAATTTTACAACTCTTCTTGGTGGGAAAAGGACGACTTGGAGCGCATGGATGAAGATCAGGTACGTTTAACTTTTTTTTCGAACATACTAGAGTAAGGTAGATTGCATGAACTAAAAAAATTTGCACATACTTGTAGTTTAAGGTGTTGAAGTGCATGACTGAGTCCATGTTCAATAAGTGGAAGGCATGGCTTGCAAGATTGGAAAACGTGAAGCCCCAATGTGGAGAGGAATGAGTAGCTTTCATGAAATTGGATGTAATAGATGTTGAGATTTGGGTAGTTTGAATACTATTTCCATGTACTTTGTTAGGATGATGGACGAATGTTTAGCGTTCTTGTTTGAATACTATTTTGATGCTTTTTTGGTACTATTTGGATGAGATTGAATAAAGTGTGTTATCAATGACCTAAATACCTATTTTCTCTCTTTTTCTAGCTAAGGGTTTGCCGTAGTGTGTGTCTGAATGAGGGGAAAAGATGGCTGGAGTTGACCACACAAATTGGCCACATACTTGAGAAAAAGGCTGAGAAGAACAAGCCATCTGAGCAGGATATTGAGAAGCCGACGACGGAAAAGGTTCCTTCGCCCTTTGTTGAGCCGACTTCGGTGTCCGGGGAGACGCCGACTCCGGCGTCTGTTGAGGAGGCCACTCCGACGTCCGTTGAGAAGGCCACTCCGGCGTCCGTGGAGACGCCCACTCCGATGTTCGTGGAGAAGCCTACTCCGGTGTCCGTGGAGAAGGCCACTCCGGTGCCCGTGGCGGCTCTAGTTACTTACCAGCGAAGAAAACCTGTTCCAAGTAATGCTTCTTCAGCACCAACGGTGGAGGTGGTTATTGAAGGCGACGAGGGGGAGCTTACGACTATACAATGGAAGAGAACGGACATGAAAACTCCGCGCTTCGAGAGGTCGAAGAGAAAGCCAGACGTATTATCCGGCTATGTGCTCTCCAACACTATTACTTGCAAGTTGGACCCTTTTGCAAAAGGCGATAGTTGAGTTCTCACTTAGTATGAGTGATGAGAACGAGTAAGTATTCAAGTGTTATCCAAACAATATTCATTTTATTATTTACAAGTGCGTTTTCATAAAAGTGTGTTAAATACTTTGTCCTTTTTACAGTTCTACGGAATTTTTGGAGACTGCGAAGTGCAAGGTGTGCCGGTTTCATTTGCTGAGTTTGAAACGTAGTGTATGGCTGAATCGTGTCATTGTTGAGGCATTTGGATACTACCTCAACGACCTGAATGTCACGAAGAATGAGAAGATGACAAAATGCATCTTCCCTATGGTTTTTGCTGTAAGTAAAATTAGACTTTCAATGCATGTCAAGAATAACCATGCTCTTCAATTTCTTCACAAGTTCTTGTTTTCAATGCAATCACAGGACAAGGCAACTGCAAATTTTAAGAGTGGGGCAACAATAACTGCAAGTCTCCTGGATGAGGCATTTGCCACACTTGATCGAGATCCAGTATTTGAAACTGCCGACTTTAAAGGATGCAATTATGTGAGTGAACTATTTATGGGTTAGAATATGAGTCTGGGTAATTCTAATACTATTTTGAGTTTTATGAATATTACTTGTTCTTATGCTGAATACTAAATCGGGTTTTATTATAATGTAACAGATGTTCTTTCCCAAATATGACGACGACCACTACCTGGTTTGTTCGTCTTTCGTCCTATTATCTTGTAAGGTAGGTTGTTATGTTTTGTGGACTTTTCGTTATCTTTTGGGTCTGATTTTCTATCCTTTCTGGATTTTAGTTCAGAGTTTAGACTTTGTCACTTTTCCTATTTTGTAATGAAATCATATTTTCTAAAAAAAATCTGTGGAATTAAAATTGATTTTCATTAAAATATTAATTATAATTTATTATTCAACAAAAAATAATTATAATTTATTGATATCCAAAGTAAATAATGTACTCATTCAGTTACCCTATTATCTTTCATTACATTTTTTTTATCTACTACGAGGAAGGAGGACAAAACATAGATAGCCGAACACACGAAGATGAGAGTATGGGGGATGTGAAGAATATATGGCATAGGGCTGGTAATCGGTCGGTATCCGGTATTCGGTATACCGGAACTAGACAGTGTACCTACCGAACACCGATACCGAATGTAACCGGCATACCGAATACCGAATAGTCGGTATCCGGTATTAATACCGGTATACCGAATACCGGTTAGAAGGACACCACTTAGTATTCTTGTCCAAAGATTTGAACTTTGAAGAACCCAGAAAACTCCATCCGCAAAATCAAAGGTGGGTATCACTTCACTTCTCAATTTCAATCATCTAACCTCATCCTCTCAAAATTTTGGTTCATGATTTGAAGGTGGGTACCACTCTCAGTTACCCAGTTTCAATTAGTTTTTCTGCTCTGTTTTTTTTTCCTTCATTTCTTCTCTTTGAATGTTTGCATTGTTTTCTGTTTCATTTCTGTTTCTTCGTCTATATCAGAGGGGCAATTAAAAATTGTTCAGAAGAGGCGGCAAAGAAGGAGGTGGTAGAAGAAGAAAAGACTGGAACTTGGCTTTTGGGTTTGTGCAAAGCAGAGCAGAGCAGGGCGGTTTGGTTTTTCCACCACCATCGAAGCGCCTCCCACTACTGCTACAGAGGCGGCTGCTCAGAGGAAGACGAAAGGGAGGAAGGCTGTTGGGTCTCCAATTTTTTAGGGTTGCACCGCGTTTTACTTTTTTTTTTTTTTATAATCGGTATACCTGTATACCGTCGGTAAATACCGACTCTTATCCGGTATTACCGAATGTAAAATCACACGCCCGAATACCGATACCGACGGTATTCGGTACGGTATCCGGTATACCGGATATCGGTTTACCGATTACCACCCCTAATATGGCATAGTAGGGGTTGACGTTATTGAGAACGAGAGTGATCTGGTAATTGATTAAACGAACCGTCGTGGCCACATCCTCGCGCTAGAACCTAGACGGAACATGGGAGGCAAGGAGAACGAAACAAGTGAGTTCAATGGTGTGCCTATTCTTACGTTCGACAATGACATTTTGTTGGAAAACTCTAGGACAAGACTTTTGGCAAAGAATTCCATGAGAACGGTAATAGACAAGTAAAGGACCAGGACTAAACTCACCACCAAGATCGGATCTAAGGATTCGAACAGTCTTGCCGAACTGGGTTCTAATCATAGTCAGAAAATCAATGGCGATGTCATACAGCTCATACTTCATCCGCAAAAAATAAACCCAGGTAAACCGAGTTGCGTGATCAACAAAAAGTGCAAGATACTTATAGCCGTGGTGAGAAAGGACTGGGGGGGACCCCAAAGATCTGTATGTACTATATGAAAGGGATCAGATATAACAATGAGACTGGTAGGAAAGGAAATGTTTTTGGCTTTAGCCTCTACACAACTGGAACACTAATGAACAGGAGAAGCAGTAACGATTTTATTTCCCAACAACTTTTGTTTACACATAGACAATAACTTAGTAGAATTCGGGTGACCCAACCAACTATGCCACAGATTCCAGAGATCAGTGGACTGGCTCGAAAAAACACAAGGTAAGGAAGACAAACTAGTCACCTGCGAATTAGATACCTGCGAAGAACTGGATGACTCAGAAACAGAGCGACCCGATCGACTCATTAGCTCCTCCAATTTAGAGTTCTGTCCTTGCTTACTCACTCTTCTGATCAGCCTCCCTGTCATCAGATATTGCATAAAACAATCAGATGGTGCGAACAAGACAGAACAATTCTCGTCAGTAAGTTGACCAACGAAAACAAGGTTAGGGTGCAGTTGCGGAACATGTAACGCTTATTTTATCTGAACCTAGGGTTTTGAACATTGCCGACCATTGTAACTTGTAAATGCGCACCATTGGCTACTTACAAATGAATATTACGGACCAGAGTGACATTGTCAAATACTCGAGAATCATCGGACATATGATTAAAACATGCAGAATCCATGAGCCATGGTTTTGATATACCTAAAGTCTGAAGTGATGCAAAAACGGAGTTGATAGCTGCGGGAAGGGATTTCTGTAGAGCTTGAGCAACATGATGCTCGACAGTGGTAGCAGAAACGGAGCTTCCAGCAACATCAATAGCCTGCGTAGCATAGGCAGGCGGACCAGCAGGGACGGTAACATCACGAGGAGGGCAGTCGACACGTCCAGGGATCTGCTCCGATCGAATTGGTGTAGCCCAGCAACTTGATTCTTCTTCAATGTCCGACAATCACTAATGAGGTTCCTAGTCCGTTTGCAATACACATAGAAGTTCCGTTTGTGACATAGCTTCTGAACGTGACCTTTTTCTTTACAGTTAAGACCCTTAAGCTCGAAGTTTAAGATCTATCACTGAAATTGTGCACGATTGACGACATAGGCTGAATCAGCCAGCTCTAGGTGAGACTTGACGCTAAACACTGCCTCCCCAACGTTGGGCCGCACATCAAGCTTTTCTTGAGTGGGAAGCCGTGTTTCCTCCTATATGAGATGCCTAATGACCCCTTCGAACTTCAGATTATCACTTTGAGAAGGGTCGCCCTAACCGACTCAAATTTGAGGTTACATCCCAGTCAAGACATGTTCAATCAAATACAAGGTGTCTCAGTACATATGTTTACTTCACAGTCGCTATCCTACAGCTTCAATTTCGAGGACGAAATTTTTATAAGTGGGGAGGAAATGTTACACCCCGATTTTTAGGTTTAGGTTCGAACAATAATAAATAAATGGGTTGGACTGAGGGATGAATACGATAACAACGGTTAAGGATTCTAAATTAAAATGATCTCTATTGATTAATCCTAATTAAGCCTACACTAATTCCAATTAAACCTAGCATGAGCGGTTACTTCCATCTGCCCGGCCACAAGAAAACCCACCCCGCCCGCCAGCTCCAATTCTCCAGCTGAGCCCCAAGTTGTAACCTTCCTCTTCGTTTGCACTTCCGTTCTCGACACCCAGCCTTCATCACCATCTCCGACTCTAGCAATGAGAACCGAAGTGAGTTGCCGTCATCCTCTCCCCACCGCATAGCCGGCTGCAACCCAATCATCATTGGTCCCCCTTTATTCATGAGTCCTCTCTGTCACGATCGCACCAACTGTAGAGGATGAGAAGGAAACTCGTACGGAGATAAAGGATTTAAGGAGTTAATGGCAAGGATTTTCATCACTTAATATTGATTAATTTCAGCATATATAATGCCAAGTTACTCTATTATTGGATTTCATCATCGGCGGTGATCGGTTGGAAGTTAGAGAGTGAAGTAATGTATAGCAAAAGGAAACGAACGATGATGGGCGGATGCCGGCCATGGTAGGTCGGTTTGCTTTCCTCCTTGATGACCGTATATATATATATTTATTGCTTTAGTATGTGTTCAAAGTGGGAAAATGGGTTTGAGATTCTATCACATGGATCAGGAGGGAAAATTCTTGCGTCCAACCCCTGTTGGAGTTAGAGGCTCCAACCTGCCATTTGTCAGCCCCATATTGGCCAACCAACCTTCCTTTTCCCTTATTTTAATTATTTTTTATCCTTTACCATTAATCAAATTATGAATTAAAAATGAAAAAAAAGCTTTGACGGAAACGACAGAGAGACGGAAGGAAGCTGGGAAGGCAACTTCTGGATTATAATTTTTATGTATGTTGTATAATTTTATTTACTACTATTTTAAATTGATGTCAATTTTTCTCTTTTTTGCATGAAGCAATAGCAAATCCTCATTTTGATGATGAAAATTTGTGATAAGATTTATGTTTCAACCGCCATGGATTATTGACTTCGTTTCTTTTATTCGGATATTCTATTTATGTTTATGTTGGCACTGTAATACTAAGTATGGTGTTGAAAAAAATTTTAAATTATTTATGATATTGTGAGATATTTTTTCCGTATTTTGTACAATGGTCATATTAATGTGAAATTGTCAAAATATTTCAAAATTTGAACGCATAAGTATTTCAAAATTGGTTCTAGTGCACGAGCAATTTTTCGTATTCTGTTTATTTTTGTTGGGGTCAAGTTTTCCTATAGAAGAACATATAAACCTAAGATATACCTAATTAAATTATAATCCAGAAGTTTTTTTTTTCATTTTTAATTCATAATTTAATTAATAATAAAGAAATAAAAATAATTAAAATAAGAGAAAAAGGAAGTTTGGTGGGCCAATATGGGACTGCCAAATGGCAGGTTGGAGCCTCTAGCTCCAACGGGGGTTGGACGCAAGAATTTCCCCTCCTGATCGGGAAATTCTTGCGTCCAACCCCCGTTGGAGCTAGAGGCTCCAACCTGCCATTTGGCAGTCCCATATTGGCCCACCAAACTTCCTTTTTCTCTTATTTTAATTATTTTTATTTCTTTATTATTAATTAAATTATGAATTAAAAATGAAAAAAAAAACTTCTGGATTATAATTTAATTAGGTATATCTTAGGTTTATATGTTCTTCTATAGGAAAACTTGACCCCAACAAAAATAAACAGAATACGAAAAATTGCTCGTGCACTAGAACCAATTTTGAAATACTTATGCGTTCAAATTTTGAAATATTTTGACAATTTCACATTAATATGACCATTGTACAAAATACGGAAAAAATATCTCACAATATCATAAATAATTTAAAATTTTTTTCAACACCATACTTAGTATTACAGTGCCAACATAAACATAAATAGAATATCCGAATAAAAGAAACGAAGTCAATAATCCATGGCGGTTGAAACATAAATCTTATCACAAATTTTCATCATCAAAATGAGGATTTGCTATTGCTTCATGCAAAAAAGAGAAAAATTGACATCAATTTAAAATAGTAGTAAATAAAATTATACAACATACATAAAAATTATAATCCAGAAGTTGCCTTCCCAGCTTCCTTCCGTCTCTCTGTCGTTTCCGTCAAAGCTTTTTTTTCATTTTTAATTCATAATTTGATTAATGGTAAAGGATAAAAAATAATTAAAATAAGGGAAAAGGAAGGTTGGTTGGCCAATATGGGGCTGACAAATGGCAGGTTGGAGCCTCTAACTCCAACAGGGGTTGGACGCAAGAATTTTCCGATCAGGAGTGCTATCTATGCATAAACATGACAAGAGGATACAAGTGAATGAATCCTACAATACTAGGAACGAGTGTTATCTACAAATTACTATAAGGGAATGTCAATATATCCTTTTCACCACGTCAGCTCATACTAACCAACCCGCACTAATCGGAGGGACACAATTGTAACTTTATTTTCCAATCTTCTTCCTACCTTCTCGCCGAAATCCCCAACGCCAGTTATTTTCTTTCTCTCCTTGCCTACTGCTTTCTCTCTCTGCTCACCATGTTCTTCGTGTGAGTATATAACCGTCGCCCTTAAATTAATTAACTCCTCCCCTCCCATTCTGTTCCCTTCTCGCAATTCCCTTTCCCATCAACTAATTCAAGCTGTCTGCAGGTTCTCTCAATCCATCCCTCCCTCTCTCTTTTCCACATGCCCCACGTTAAGGTCGGAAATCAATTAGATTAACTTGTCATGCACTTATATGTTGTTGTGATTTGTTCCATGGTGGTTTAGAGCTGGGAGCCTGGAATGGGTTTCATAACTAATTTGTTTGAATTTTTTATTAATCTATTGCATATATTTAACTAATTTCAAATAAATTCCTCAAGGAGCATTTGCCCTTTTTGGAAGTCCAAAGACGGGTCGTGCCTTGCGAATCTATACGATGAATTATGATCATTGATCATGGCTGTGAAAATTAAGGTACTTCATTCAAATGAGTAACATATCAGCTATTAGATTGTTGATATGACTTGAATCGGACTATCAGCCGCTACGAATGGAAGTCACGCGGGGCTCAATGTTATTTGGGTTCGTGTTTTGAGCCTGGTTGTAATCGCTTTTCCTTTACCATAATGGATTAGGGTTAGACCTTGGAGAAGTAGTATAAATACTTCTCATACTCCTCTGTAATTTGTATCTCCTCAAGTATAGTGAAAACTGGCTCTCTCCTGCCCGTTGACTAGCTAACACACATTGCGTTAGTGAACCATGTAAATCATGTATTGTGTATGTGCACTTGTGTTTTCTTACATTGTCGAATCCTTCTATTTCCCGATACTCAGAAAACATCAGTAACGCACATAGTATAGTATAGTTTTGAAGACGAAACTTCACGGATGATAATAATTGTTCTTCTCTTCATTGCTCTTAATTGATTGCAATAATGCTGCCGAAACATCATTGATCATTGCCATGACGCTTTTTATTGCCAAAATCTTTCATTTTATTTCTACTAATAATCGGCTCAATGTTGTGTTGCTATTTGCTAATTATGTCCTTAATATGATGTATTTTTTACATGTATATCTAATGTATCCACCCAAATTGTAGTTTATTTGGGCGTTCCATTGTGATTTACATTAGGGAAAGGGTATATATGCTATATAAATTCATTATAAAGTCCACTTTGTCCATGATTTTCATAGAATCTGACTTATTGAATCCAATTTTACCTACTTTTTATTATATTTGAAATTTGAATCTCCTGTATTGGTTCAAAGGCATTAATCATTCAGTTATTTGTTTTTGTTGAGGAATTTGTTGTATACACAGTGGGTCTGAACTCTGAAGTAATGAGAGCCTCAACTTATAATAGCAAGAACGGAAAATCAATCGGAATTGAAGGAGGTCGCCCACTTGAAAGTTGAAATTAGGTTTAAACTTCTTTAAGTGACTAATAAACGTTATTAACATTGATCGTGCCTCATTGGAATGGTCGGATTTTTTTAATGATATTAGGGAACTACAATTCTCAAGTGATTTGGTCAAGTTTAATTGAATATTTCATGTAAAATAAGTCGAGTATGGATGAATGAGCCGCATATTGATCCGGATTCCAGTACTTAGGTCATGATTATTTCGTTGGCATGACGAGCAAGAGATGTTTATGATTTCATTTCTTTTAACCAATGGATAGTTATATTTTATCTAACGTTTTAAGCATGAGAATAAAGTTTCTTTTTCTAATTTAAGCCTTTGATAAGTAGATCTTATGCAAGTGGATGAATATCATGGTATCATAATATTTAGTCAATGGCTTGCTAAGTAGTGATCCTTGACGTATTTTTGGGTTGGACCGGTCCTTTTTCTATGTATAGGTGTGAATTCAATCAATTACTATGAATTTGGAAATACAACAATTCTATAAGTAAGAATGTTGATAAAAGATAATTTATCGCTCATGTAACCGATATTAGTCTTTATACTCCATATACATATTGAATTTTGGGAATCAAATATATAATATAATGGTCAACGTGACTCTATATAATAATATGTGCGTTGATCTTTAAAAACAAACAAATAGCAATATATCAACCCACTTTTTACCCCATTATGCACCTCTGTGGATCATTATTCATTTGTATGTGTGGGCTGATGACCCTCCTAGCCCTCAATAGCAAATATTGCATACTTAAAACTAATCCAACATATCATATGACAAAATTTGAAATTCAAAGCAAAACCCGGCCAATAGGCCGGGCCCTATGCTAGTCATATCATAGGAAGAAGGCATTAGCAATGGAAATATATGGGTGATAATACGTGGGAGGTCATGCATGAATTGAAGGGATTAATTGCTATCATTATGCCACTGAGGAAACCATGTAGTTACGTGGGGTTTTACTGTGACAGGGAGTAAAACTGCTTTTTGTAATTAGACGAAGATGATCTAGACAAGAGCGACACCGCAAAAGATAGATTATATATCGACTCGAAGTTAAGGTGAGTGTAAAGAGGGTATATTCTACGTTGTACGGTTTTCAAGTATTTGATTTACGTTATGCATGTGAAGTGTTTGATTTGTGTTTGAGATTGCATGTTGTGTTTGATTATGCATGCTTCGATTTAAGTTATTGGTTGAGTATTTCAATATCTATGATTAAGCATTCAAGTTTCTGTATGTACGATGTTTAAGGTCGAGTGTTTTTAATACTTCACCGCTTAATAAGTTATGGTAATAAGAGTAAGAGAATGTCACGAGTAAGGATAGGTAATCTCGCTTAGCTAGCCACTATCTAGATGGATTCCTACCAGACGATGATAAGTTCCGCAGTAGTTGATCACTACCGGATGGTGATACGTTCCGCGGTAGTTGGTTAGGCGTGGAGCGGGACGGTGATGAGTTCCGCGGTCTCCATTGCCTAGGTTTAGGTGTGCTACCGGATGGTGATACATTCCGCGGTAGTCACACCATAGTTTGACACCGGATGGTGATTCGTTCCGCGGTGGTCAAACCCATGTGAGGGGCACCCCATTGTGAGGGTAGCCATGTTTAAGTAAGTACGTAAGAAAGTAAGTGACGTTAGTAGTGGCGCCAGCTAAGTCGAGGTAGGGGCCCCACAATAAGATAAAGGAAGAAATAATACGTTTTTAAGAGTTAAAGTTTAAAAGGCGGAAGTACAAATAACTTTCATAAGTTTAAGTAAGTGTTTTAAGCAAAGTCCTCAAGTATTAAAATTAATAAACGTAAGGGCGTAGACTGACTCCATCTCACTCACCAGTTTGAAGAGCTAGAGGAGGAGCTAGAGGAGCAGTTAGTGAGTAGCGAGTTCGAGGGCAGCCAGCTAGATGATGGCAGTATAAGCGTCACGGGGGATGCTTAGTCAAGGTTTTCAGTAGCAACAACATTAGAGATGATTAGTTATTTACATTTATGATTATGAGTATAGACTGGAGATCATTTTGAGATTTTAAGTATTAAGTTTGCCCATGTGTTAGGGCATTGCTTTGAACTATAAGTGTATGTTTTCAGTATTTTATTTATTAAAAATTTTTCCGCTGCAATTTAAGATTTGATTATTTTATTTTTTTCAAGGGCATTTTAGTCAAAATACTACTCGGTCGGGTTAGGGTGTTACACGCAGCTTCATAAGAAACTGCATTAAAAGAGAGTGAGTATGCTCCTCATGAGCTTCCACAGAGAGAGCATCCGGACAAAGAGAAGCAAGAAGCAAGTCTTGCTCACTCCATAAAAGCACAGAGGCGTTGTATTAGGAAGCCACATCAAAGTCGCCCTGCTTGAGGAGACCTAGCTCATTTTCAATCTCAAAATGGCGAGCCAAATCCTTCATGGTGTCGGTTGACACAAGATGCGCCTACATCTCAGCAACCGTGGAGAAAAGATGTAACCCTAGGACAATGTTGGTATCCACCGAACCCAGAATCCATGATTTGACTCATGCATTGCTCACAGTCCACCGATCAAGCTCCTACGCTATGGTAGGAGGAATAGATGGCTTCTTCGCGGTTCCCTCGAGAATCAGAATGAATCCATTACCTTCGATAAAAATTCGAAATTGAAATTCCCAAGCTGCATAGTTCTTCGAATCCAGACGAATACTAAGACAATCAAAATCATCGATACCTTGCTCTGATACCATGTGAGACATAATGATAATGAACTTAAAATAGCGGAGACAATGAATTTACGTGGTATCCCTTATTATCTCAGGACTAATCCACGAGAGAGCTTTGATGCTCTCCAAGCTGATAATCGTATTAGGCTTCAATGTCTGCTTAGGTTACATGACCAAAATAACTTCCTTATATACACCCTAGGGTACGACAAAACCCTAGGTTCCCCAATACACACGTAGTCCATCTACAATAAAGGCTCGAAGACTACATTGGGCCAAACTCAACGTCACATATACGAGACCCATGCAATATACGTGACCCATGCAGGAGTGGTTGCTTAACAAGAGAGACATACAGAGGGAAGATTGAATGGCTTTTTGCAAGAAAGAATGTTTGATGGTGGATGAGTAGAATGGTAAAGTTTGAGGGTTCATTTATAGAAAGACGAATTGATTCCTTCTGCAATAACTCATTATTATTAAAGTTGAATGAATAGTTGATATCGCAACTCATTATGATTAAAGTTGGATGAGCAGTTGATGGCACAATTCAATCTAACAATCGTTGGCTGAGCAGTTGATGGCACAACTTAATCTGACAAAAGTTGGATGAGTAGTTGATGATACAACTCAATATGACAAACATGTGATGAATCTATGACCATCTAAACCTTTTCTTCATTGATAACGTCATATTTGAAGTCAAAATCTTTTTAATATCCAAATTTAAAAAATTACATCAAAATGCTCGTCTTAGTTAATTATAGCTACACATATAAACTTATGAATAAATAATCTAATTCATGTGTTGAAATTTACACTAATGGAGATCAACAAAAAAAAACCAACTATGAAACTTTTGGTTTTTTAGGGCTTAATTCACCTGCATAGCCATAACCTTCGCATTTTTTACAATAATAGCCACTTTTTGAAAAATACACAGTTGTTGCCATTCCGTCCAAAACTTTAATAGTACATTCACAAATGTTGACTAGAAAAATGTTTATGGTGACAACTGACATGGCGACTTTTCGTCAAATCCACTTCCAGGTGGAATGTTGACTTTATTGTAATTATACGATAAGTAAAAGAAATTTTAAATAAAAAACCAAAATGAAAAAATTCATTAGTTTTCTTCGTCTTCTTTTTCTCTTTTATCTACACTTCCTTTTCTCTTTTGTCAAACAAAAAAAAAAATACACTCCCACATTAAACTTTAACTAATACGCCGGTTCTTCCATCTACCCTCAAATTGAACTATGGCGAATGAATATGAATTGGGGAAACAAGATTAATCGGAACATAAATTCAATTACGAAGCCATAACCCGTTGTTGAAGAAGCAAAAATAGAGAAATCCCTATTGTTGATTAAGACCTCGAAGGCGACCAGATCTGCGCATGTCGGAACTGCGACAAGTACCCAAGAATCGGGTTCTTCCTTGGCCTCCGTCATCTCCTTCTTCATCTTTCCTGATGGCTGGACTTCTGTCATCGATTAGGGACTTTGTCAAGGCAACCAAATCTGCCACTGCTGCTTCCAAATATACAGAGGAGAAAAGCAAACTGAAAGGGCGCGTACACAGGAATTGGTTCTTCATTGGTCCCTCTCGTCTCTCTTCATCTTCTCCTATGACTAGTTTTCCATCGTCTCTATCAAAACCTATTCATAAGTTGATTGCTCTATTCTTCGAGATCTTGTTGGCTGGTTTGGTTATGGAGTGGAAGAAGAACTAGATATGAAAAAAATAAAGCCACGATTGAGTAATGGCGATGGTGAGCGGATTATGAACGGGGCAATTCAAATCCTCCCTGATTTCTTGTTCGATGCTTTTTGGATTCAGCAAAGTAGAGGTGGTTCAATGGCGATGGTCGGGATTCAAATCCTCCCCGGCTCTGATAAATCTGGTCGGCGAAGAGAGATCGTTCCCCCCTCGATAGGTATTTGATGGTGGCAGTGGCGGTGGAACCCAGGAACGACACCCTCAACTGATCTGAACGACGAGAATTGATACTGGAATCTGTTGCTCATCGGTTAGCCTTTCCAGAAGGAATAAAAAAAATCAAAGAGAGAGGAGTAGGAAAGGAAGAAATCAAAGCTTTGGAGTGGGAGATGAAGCGAACGGTAACGATGGGGAGGGAAAAAGAGAAAGATAACAGTAATAATAATATAAATATTATTTTGTAAGAAATTAAGATTTTAATTTGACGGGGCGTCCAGGTGGTGTGTGAGTCTAGCTGGAGCTAAGGTGGCATCCATATCAACACATGCTAACAGTGTTAAATAGGGGTGGACGAATAGTTACCGGTTATCAGTTAATCGTTGGTTTCAACCGAAACTGATCTGTTTTCAATTAATCAAAAGCCATTCGTAATTGATGGCATTCGGTTGTCGGAAAAGTTGGGGAGATGGTCAGCTAATCGTCTAACCGACCCTCTCTCCAGCCCTTCCAAAACGACCTGCCCTTCCCCCCCAAAAATGACTCCCCAACCCCCAAAACGACCCATAAGGCCCCAACCCCCAAAACGACCTAACCTAACAACTCTAACCCCAACTTCGACGCCTCTGCATATCTCCCTCTCGTCTCGCCTCACCACCCCGACGGCAGTGGCGCAAAATAGAGAAGAAGCCCAGTCCTGTGCTCGCATCGCCTGCTCCTGGTGACGTTGCCGATCAACCGTGACATCGCCGGCACCTCGCGCCCTTGCTTGCTGCTGGTGGTCTCTCTTCCTCCCAGCAACCACGCCCCTCTGCCGCGATCGCGCTGCTCTGCGCCTCTGCCGCGCCATCTCCTCCTTCACGAGACCGTGCCCCTCTGCCGCTTTATCGTCGACGGCCCATAGAATCGACGCCAACCCTGTCTCTGCCCGTCCTATCCCTTCAACAATCAAAAATCCAAACCGAGAGCCATAAGTCCGGTTACCATGGCTAACAGAACCAATAATCGATAACTTACCGGTCGCTGGTCGGTTAGCCATGGCTCTCTCACGGTCGCTGGTCGCCAGCCGTGTGGGATGGCTCGGTTTAACCAATAACCGAGTTTTTCGATTAAACCAAAACCGACCAGTCGCCTCCCCTAGTGTTAAATTTTTTTTTACGGAAATGACTAATTTTGGCAAACAAGTTTCCAATATATGACTACAATTGTGTATTTTTCAAAAAGTGGTTATTATTGTAAAAACATGAAAATTATGACTATACAGATGAATTAAGCCTAAGCCTTTTTCAGTTATCAACAATGGAGCAAAACACATTTTGGTTAGCCAAAAGTAAAAAAAAAAAAAATACCTCCAAGATTTGACTTTCTTAGCACCCTATTGAAGATGGTCTGAGGAAGGTACAAGCAAGCATTTAAAACCTAGAAAAATGCGCTCAATCACTAATCATCAGAAATTGCAGGGATGACAACCTTACATGACCTCATTTCCCACTAATTCCCAGTAAGTAAAAATACTCTAAAATCGAGAATGAAGAGTGAAAACTTATCATGTGCATGTAAAAATGTAATTTCACAGCCGAAAACCTTTGTAGAAAAGGGCATATTATCAACTTTGGCAAATCTATTCGATATGAGCCATCCGATATTCTATATGAGCAATCCGAATTTAGAATCTAATTGTACTACGATGAACTAGGAAGGATGCAATGCAATACCAACTTAGTTTGGCCCTGCGGTAGCTTTTGTAGAAGCAGCTTCAGGCTGGAGCTTTTAGATAAGTACTTTTCAAAAAAAAAAAAAAAAACAGCCGAGTGTTTGGCTGTAAAACTATTAGAAGTTCTTTTTAATATGAAAGATTGTGTAAAATGACTATAAATGACTTATAATATAAAATATGAATAAAAATTCTAAACAATAAAAAGTAAACAAAATGGATCTTGTTAGATTTCTTTTATATTAAATAATATGATTTTATAATTTTATTTTATTTTTAAAATGATATAAATGAATGAAAATTATATTTTCTGAAATAAAATTAAAATATGGTAAGGATAATATTGTATTTTCAAAACAGCTTTTCGCAGAAGTTTCAAATCAGAGCTTCTGCTTTTATGTTATACAAAAGCGCTTTTCGGCTTTTCAAAAGCCGAGCTTTTACAGGTGTTTGGCCCTACTTCAGCTTTTGAAGTCTAAAAGCACTTCTAAAAGTCGGGCTTAGAGATGGCAACAAAATCCGAACCCACGGGTACCCACCCGACCCAACCCGGTCAACGCGGGTAAAATCCGTGTTGACGGGTTTTGGGCCGGGTTTGGGTTTAAACCCGTTCACTATTCACCTTGTTGGGTTGGGTTTGGGTTTAGGTAAACCCGACCCATGGATACCCGCCCACACCCATATAATAATTTTCTTGGTATATTAATATTCTAAACAACTAATCGTATTTATGTTTGTGGAGACATGTCTAATTTTTTCTTTCTAATTGTGTAGAATGAAGTTGATGTTATCGAGTGGAGAGCGAAGAAACTTAATTGAAAGGAAGAAGTTTTCAATTAATCATGTTATTTATGGATAATTTGTGATTTGCTTCAATTTTCTTGAGTTTTCTAGATTGGTGTTGAACGATTTGTATAGTTAATTTGTGATTTGCTTGTATTTTCTAGAATGGTGTTTTATATATGGATACTTTGTATTGAGAGATTGATATTTGACTTTAATTTTGATAGAAACTTGTTATAGTAAATTTTTTATGACAAAAACCCATGAGTACCCATGAACCCGCGGATACCCAGCTGGTTGGGTTGGGTTTGAGTTTTTCAAACCTAGTGAGTTTTACCCCAGGTTTTTTACACCGATAAACCCACGGGTTTGAGTTTGGGTTTGGCAAAACCCGACCCATTGCCATCCCTAGTCGGGCTAAACATAGAGAGCCTGTGTCTTTAAAAAAGTATACTTTAATCTCCAACGGGTCCCAGGTCCAGCGTAATGGATAAATCAAAGAAGTGCCTTGTTCCAAGGACTGACGAGGAAAGAGGGAAAGAATCCATCTCCAACTCGCAAAAGCCTGCCCCATGGACCCAAACCCAGCCCATCAAAATATCATCGTCCATTGACAGACTTCTCAGATATAGATATTTATTGAATGAATCCCGACGAGCCCGCCAACTAGCAACTGGGTGGGTCCCACATGTTTCCCACCTTCCTTCTCCTTCGTTCTTATCTGATTCTTATCCCTTTCCCTTCGCTTTCTTCTCTCGCTCACTGGTTTCCGTTCCGTTTTAGCGGGGTCCATTTCGCGACATCCCGACTTCTCCGTCCACGTGGCCACCATTACGCCTATCCCGTTTCCCGCAATCCCGTCACAGTCAGCCAGCCATCTCTCCCTCCCCGTCTATTTATTTTGCACTTGCGTTGCGTCGCTCTCCGACTCACTCTCTTCTCTCAATTGAATCCAACATCTCCTTCGCCGATCACAACACTCAGGAAATCAAATCATCGATTCTTTCGTCCCGTGGATCCACCATCGTAATCAGACGAAGGTAATTATCTTTATCGACTGGAATTCCGGTGGCGTCCGTTGGTTTTTGCTTTGTTGTTTCTTTCTGCCATATTTATTTCCCGGTCGTCGGCGTTGGCCTCAATTCACATGATCGATTGCATTTATTATATTATTATAAATGAAATGGGGGGATATAGTCGTTTGATTTGAAGATTGTATTTCTTTCTTGTACATCGTCCTTTCTCGTTTTCACAGAGTTTGTACGATCAAGTTATTGGAGCTGTGAAATGGGTGGGGCTTGTTCGAGGAAGAGAGGGGCGTTGGAAAGGGAAGATAACAAAAGTCCAGCCGGGAGGCTCTGTAGGAAATTTAGCAAGAATGGAAGCTCGAAATGGTTGGTAACTTCCGTTCCCAAACTCGGCGGAAATGATTCACAAGGCCAGAAGAATAGCAGCAGACGCCCTCCTCCCCTTTTGGACCTTTGCATCCAAAATATCTGTGAGGTATATATATTCTGCTTTCCGGCTGCGACTTGGGTTCCTTATTTTGCTAAAGGATGATAATGGCTAACGATTTTTGACTTCCTGGGTACTTTTTTAATAGGATATAGATAACCACGGCACATTTTACATGCTCCCAAGGGACATCAGCCAAGAGATCTTCAACGAATTGGTGTTCTCCCTTCGTCTAACTGATGTTTCTCTTGAAGCATTTCGGGATTGCGCCCTCCAGGTATTGGCGATGTACTTAAACGAGTGTCTTGTATCAGCTTGTTTAACAAATCCATTTGGCATTTCATTGTTTCCAATTGTTGATGGGTTTGTGCTGTGCGGCAGGATATTCACTTGATAGACTATCCAGGAGTTAATGACTATTGGATGGATGTCATCTCGTCGCAGGGGATGTCGTTGCTTTCTCTCGATGTATCCGGTTCGAATGTGACTGATTCCGGGTTCAGTTATTTAAGAGTCTGTAAGAACCTGGAAAGTCTCGGTCTTGACTACTGTGAGAGACTTTCTGATCTTGGGCTTAAGGAGATTGGAGGTAACCTACCTCTCTCTCTTTTTTCAAGCATGTTAATGTATGTTGGTTTGCTCCTTCCGAATGAATCAACATTAGCTGCCATTTATAGACAGTAAACAATAATCTTCGTAGGAACGTTCTTTAATATTTGATGGAGAGAGTTCATCAGTCATCACTGAGTTGCATTAGATTTTGTTAAAAAAGATTCTCTTTTCCCATTTTTTAGATCTTCGGCAATTATGATTCTGCCAATACTCTTCCCCGTCTCTTCTTGTTTCTTCTAAGGTCCTTTTGTATTGGTATCCTTCTGCCTCCTCTCTTATACTTTTTTTTCGTTTGCTTGTAGAAGGCTTCTCAAACTTGACAAGCTTGAGTTTCAGACGAAACAATGCAATTACCGCAGAGGGAATGAGGGCAGTTTCAGGCTTAAAAAACCTAGTTAAATTGGACATGGAGAGGTGTCCTGGCGTTGGGGGTGGTTTTGCTCACCTCAATGGTACCCGTCGAACTTCTTCCAATCCTTGCTCCATCCTTTTATGTTTGTGATCGGTAGAAGAGTTGCTTGTTATACTTTTCTGAGTTGTAATCCGTAACTGAAAACAGATGTGGTTTTTGCTTCGTACAACAATGCTTTGTGTTAAACCAATCTTATAACTTATAAGCTACTAAAATGTTGCACAATTGTCTCTATGTTGTCTTGTAGGTTTATCAAAATTAGAGTCTCTTAACATCAATTGGTGCAACTGCATCACAGATGATGATTTGAAGCACCTTTCTGGTAAGCGACCCATGGTCTTTCCTTCAGTGGTCTTTGCACTTCATTATCAAGAAAAAAAAAAAAAAAAAAAACTTCCCCTTTTTCAGATGTTACATCTTGCATAACCTCTTCAAACTTTGCCTGAGATGATCTGATTGGGTCCCTATATCTTTTGATGAGACTAAGATGTAGTATATGACCAAGGCTGTTGGAAAGTTGATGAACCTGAAAAGTGTATAAATTAGTGAATCCTGATTTATATTATGTAAACTTTCAGTGTAACAGCATTATAAATACTCTGCCGTTCTGTCATCCACCTGAAAGTACTCGATTGTTGTTGTTTCAGGGCTTACTAGCTTGAAGAGCTTGCAAATTTCTTGCAGCAGGGTTACGGATATGGGTATATCTAGCTTGAAAGGTAATTTACCTTATTTGCTTTTACAATTTCGGTACTCATTAGCAGTGATGGACATGTTTTCTGTATGGATCTTGGCAGCGGAAGAACAATAAGCTACAAGCTACAAAGCTATCTTGTTTATGATTTTGTTACGTATTTTCAGGGCTCCATAACCTTACCCTTCTTAACTTGGAGGGTTGCCCAGTCACAGCAGCATGTTTGGAATTTCTCGCAGGCACATCCTCAATTGCCCTACTCATCTTTTTTTTTTTTTTAACATTCAGATATCTTTTTTGCATCACAACCAATGTTTGCTTTTAGAGTCTTCTTTAGCTGTTAATGAGTTTCCATCTGATGGAAGTGATTTGGGATATCTGGACCTTAAATAATTTGTTGCATCTCTTTGCAGAGCTAGCTTCTCTGTCATATCTGAACCTAAACAGGTGTCATCTATCTGATGCTGGATGTCAGAAATTTTCAAGTAAGTTCACCTTAATATTGTTCACATTGATTTGGCTCTTCGTGAAAGAATGACACTAGCTGGTGATTGGATTGTGATCCTATCTTATAAACTGTGTTGTTGAGCAGAATTCGCAAAATTAAAGATTCTAAATTTGGGCTTCAATGACATCACTGATGCGTGTTTAGTGCACCTGAAAGGTATTTCCTAGTTCTACTCAAGCCATATACTATTCTGAACGACCTCAATTCATATCTATATTAGCATGCCTGTGAATATAGCAGTTTAAAGATTCATATCAATGGTAGTAACAACTGTGCACGCACACACAGAGAGGCAATCGCATTTCAAAAGGAATTTAATACCCTGACAGAGTATCAGTTGATTGAGGCTGACATTTCACATTTTGATGGGATCGTTGAGTGTACAATGATTGAAATGATCCTGGCCAGACTATAATTTCAATTCTTGTTTTTTCTTTGTTCCACACTTCGCTGGTGGAAATGTTCATGCCCAGCATATGGGTGCACACTAATTATGATTTTCTTTCTTTTTTTATTCTAATTGAAAGTTAAGAATTCACATCTCTTGTTCATGTGGGACCTTTGTGAAGCAGGTTTAACAGCTTTGGAGAGCTTGAACTTGGATTCTTGTCAGATCAACGATGATGGGATGGAGAACTTAAAAGGTTAATTGGATTGGCTTGTTTCCGTGTTTCTCGGTCGTTTTTCAATTAACTAAAATGTTTACTTGATAAGCATAGCGAGTCTAGATATATCCTTCATGAGTTATTGCATTTCAGTTAATTTCTGATGCCATTATCTTGTTGGTTTTAGGTCTGAAGAACTTGAAATGCTTAGTGTTGTCAGATACTGAAGTTGGAAGCAAGGGGCTGCGCCACCTAACTGGTTAGAATTCTTGAAGCTCATTTATTTCCCTTTGGATGCTGTACTAACAACTTGTATTACTAAATTGTCTACCCTAAAATTTTGTAGGCCTTCATAATTTGGAGAGCATAAATCTGTCTTTCACCATGGTTACTGATTGTGGTTTAAGAGAACTGTCCGGATTAACATCTATTAAATCTCTCAATCTGGATGCGCGCCAAATAACAGATACTGGACTTGCAGCCCTTACAAGTAAGTTCGATGTAGAGAGAGATATGGGTGACTTTAGTTTTTCATAGGAATAGTATCTCTGGTTATGGATGTCCTTCGACAGTCTCGTTGGTAGATAGATCCATTAACTGACTGTATGCTTCTTCTTCTGCTCTTAAAATTCAGGTTTGACTGGATTAACTCATCTGGATCTCTTTGGAGCTCGTATTACAGATTCTGGGACATCGTACTTAAAAAGTAAGTACTTTCTAATCCCTGCATCCTAAATGTACCCATGAGGGTGATATTAGAGAGTAGGATTGAATGTGACTTCTGCTGCTGGCTGTAAACTCGAAGCTGTATGACAGCCATCTTAGCTCTCTACCTTTTGACTTAAAATGTGTTCGCTTTGGGGTTGTTCTTCATTTGCACTTATATCTGAGTTCATCTTCTTACAGATTTCAAAAATCTTTGTTCCTTGGAGATATGCGGTGGAGGATTAACGGATGCTGGGGTTAAGAACATCAAAGAGCTGTCCTCTCTGTCACTCCTGAATCTATCACAGAACTGCAACCTAACAGATAGATCACTGGAATTAATTTCAGGTATTAAGATCCACACAGAAATGTCATATAAGTCAACTCCTTATTTCCCAGAAAACAGAATTGAATGCTCTGGTGGTGTTACAATGTATGCATGCAGGATTGACTGGACTTATATCGTTGAACGTCTCGAATTCAAGAATCACAGCTGCTGGTCTGCGGCATCTGAAGCCATTGAAGAGTTTAAAGTCATTGAGCATGGAATCGTGCAAGGTCACGGCCAGTGACATCGAGAAGCTTCGGTCTTTCGATCTCCCTAACCTCGTAAGCTTTCGCCCTGAAGAATGATGACGGTTATTGGAATTGTCAGTAATGTATGTAATTAGTGGCTCTCATGAAGATGAAAGAGCTAGTACATATGTCACTTTAAGTAGCTTGTAAATATTTGTTTGGGAACGAGCTTCGTCTGTTTCAGTGAGACACTATGTAGATATAAGTTTCTGTGTGTTCATGAATAACTCCCACCTTCGTTGATTTTATACGAAGACACCTCAATCGAGTAAAGCTGTTGGGGTTGGATTCCATGTTCAAGCACAAAAGTTCTCGCGGCGGCAGGTTTGGTTTTTTTGGTGCAGAATCGTGAGTTATCTTGGAAAAGCCGAAATTCTAGTATTTCCAAACCATGACTATTCATTGCAAAGTGAATAAACCTTTATAAAGGATTATACTGAATTATAATATGTCATTTTATTATGTCGTTGGTTCTATCAAACATGTCTTACTATTTATTAGGTTCGTTCTATCAAACATGTCTTACTATTTATTAGGGTTAATAGCTTATTTTATTCTGAACCATCACCATATAATCAACTTTGGTCCATAATTTCAGAAATTAACATTTTGACCTCAATTATGCAACATGTAGACTTAATTGGCCCGATACATGGTTTGAACGTCAATTTGGACGGTCAACATGCCATGTCATTGCCTCATCAGCCTAAAATCATTAAAAATTTTAAATTATTTTCCTAATTTCTATTATTATACTTTTTTTTTTTACAAAAGATATTCATATATTGAATCAAAAGAAGATAGTTACATCCTGGATCGAAGCCAGGCCTGAAAATCAAACAATCGACAATGAGCCGGGTACAAAGTAAGGGTCTTTTTAGCCACCGAATGGGCTACCCTATTGCTATCCCGACCTACGAATCGAAAACTAAAACCCACATGATTCCTCAAACACTGCACACTTAACCAAAAAATAAAATTATAAAAATATATAAATTTTTTTTTATTTTTTGGTTAATTTGAAAATGATAAATAATAGATATTAGAATAATAATTAGAATTTTTAATGATTTTTAGGCTGACATGGCATAGTTGAGGCCAAGATGTTAATTTTTGAAACCACGGCCAAAGTTGATTATATGTATAGGTGTCAAAACATAGCCCGACCCGATCAACCCAATCCGCAACCTGACCGCAACCCGACTAACCCGCAACCTGAATGACCCGCAACCCGATTAATTCGAACCCGATTGATCCGCAACCCGACTGACCAGCAAGCCAAATCCGACTAACCCATAACCCGACTGACTCAACCCGAACTTCACCTAGTCCACTTGAATAATTATTATAATATACAATACATAGTTTTTCAAAAGAAAGTTTTTCATTCTAAACTTAGGGAAAATTATTTTTTCATTTCGTATAGGGAATTTAAAAAATATGAAACTCACTTGATATTATGTATTTTAAGAAAATTACAAAATTGAAACATGACGGTCACTTGAACACTAAGTTCTTTAACAAAATTAAAAAAGTAAATAGAAAATAGAAAATCAACATAATGTCAATATTAATAATTAATAATTGAGATCATGGACAATATTAATATAATATATAAATAAAAATTTTGATTAATTTACCTATTCAATAAAATTATCAATTAAATATAAATAAAGTAAAGTAATGTATTTGGTAATTTGATGTTTTTAAAAGAAGATGGAAATTTTGGTGTATTCAATTTTTTGGGAAGAGAAAGAAAAAGGAAATTTGGTTCTTTGAATTTTGTAGAAAAGAAACAAGTGAAAAATTTGGTGGCTTTGATTTGTGGGAGGAGAAAGAATTGAGAAAGTTTGGTTTTTTTTATTACGAAAGAGAAATAAGGAGAGAAATTTTGAGATTTTAAATTTTTGTGGAAGGAAGGAAGAGAGAAATTTGTTTTATTCAATTTTATGGAAGAGAAAGAAGAGGGGAAATTGAGTTTTCTAATTTATGAAAGGAGAAAGAAGGAGGGAATTTTTTTTTTTTTTGTGAAAATAAAGAATGAAACAAATTTGGTGTTTTCAACTTTAATTTTTATATGGAGGGCATGACTAGTTAAATTTTTTCTTATATGCTTTGAAAGCATATATAGATGGTGGCTACTTCGGTGCACTCACAAAAATGAGTGCATTCAATGCACCCAACTCTAAAAGTAGCGTTAAGACATCAATTTTTTATTTTAATTGGTAAGATTAGTGTAATATGATAATATAATATAAGATCACAACTAATCAATGCATTACCCTAAGCCCTAAACCTTCAATTTTGAACTTTTGCCCTAAACCCCAAATCATGAACCCTAACCCTAACCCTAAATCTATAAATCATAATTTCTTCAAATTAATGTAAATTTTGAATAATTTTTGTGCTAATTCATGGGGTTTCTTTTTCATCGTATCATACGTGATGATTAACATTGTTTTGACATGAATCGCATGCTCATAATGACAAATATGAAGCGAGTGCATTGAATGCACCAAAAAATGTGAGTGCACCGAAGACATAACCATATATAGATATATATATATATATATAGATATATGTATATAATTGTTTATAGGCTAATAAATAAATTAACCATTAGTTACAACAATTATACTAAACTTGATAAGTAATCTTTGACGGTTTGTTGTTTAGGCTATAAAGTATATGGTTAGGGTATAGAGTATAAGGTACAGATGGTTTAGGGTGTATATGGTTAGGGTATAAGATATTTATGATTTTGACGGTCTAAGTTTTTTATTAACATATGTTCACTTGAAGTCATTTGAAGTCTTTAACAGCAGGAGATCCCTTTTTAATTTATGTTTGTGGTACGTGGTTAGGATACAAGGTATATGGTGTAGAGTATAGGATATATGGTTTGGGTATAGCAATTAGCAAATATCACTTTTTATCTATGTTTTGAAAATCAAAGTATGAATTTCAGTTTTAAATTAACTATACTAGCAAAATTACAACTCATAAGGACATGTGGTTAAGGTATAGGGTATGTGGTTAGTGTATAATGTATTGATGGTTTAGGCTAAGTGTACAGGATATATGTTATTGAGTAAGTTATGATTGAAGTCACAATAATTTTACTAAATTTGATAGTTAATCTTTAATGGTTCAATTTTTAGGATAATTCGAACAATTCTATAGATAACTCGTTTGGCAACAGTTTACTGAAGTTATTTGGGCAATGAGTTATTTCGAAATAACTCTTTTTATCACTCTGCTTTTGCCAAATACCACACGCCAAATACCACATTTGCATGGTTATACTAAATGAGATACTTCAATCCAATTACACTACTGAAATAATACTAAAATATCAAATAAACAATTAATGGTGTCTTTTGGTTGTAAATGTTGATATCACCATTACTATTAGCTAGTGTACTTTACCAATTACGATTAATTACATAACAAGTTTGCAAGTCATACAAATTGATTTAACATTTTGACTCGTTTTTTTTCAAAAAAAAAGTATATATATGAGGTAGAAATAAATTGGTTAAAATAAATATATTGTTACCCATTGATATGTAGCTCGTGAGCTAGCTTACTAAAGATCAATGAGATAGATTATATATGTTCCATTATCCGATTTTTTATGTTTTCCTACATAGCTACATATGCATCTCATTTATAATGTGTATAAGATAACTAAATGTATCTCGTTGTAGTGGATTTGGTGGAAGAATGGAAGAAAATGGAGATATAAAGGAAAAAGAAGGTGAGATTCAATTTCAGAGAGGAGGGTGTAAGAGGAAGGATTGTACCACATCGATGGGAAATAAATGATCCCAAATCTCACTCATGTATAAAGTTGGATGCCTTCTCCCTTCCTTTTACTTATTCCAGAAGAAGTGTAAATAACTTACCTTTTCATATTTGGGCCTCTTGTTATGGTCTTCTGCTAGTCAACAATGACTGCTTTGGCTGTTGTCAAGTTGAGTTTTGGGCTGTTAATTTTTTAGCCCATTATAAAGTCATTTGTCTTTTAATGTTGGCAAATAGAAATTTTGCTAATAAGTTGGGCTCTTTTGGCTTTGCCAATTGCAAGTCTTTAATTGAGCTCAAACATTGATTTCAGTTGATGCAAAAAAGCTTGAGTTTAGTTTCTTAGAACTTGTGTCAAGTACTATTTATGTTTATGGTACGCGGTTAGGGTACAAGGTATATGGTGTAGAGTATAGGATATATATAGTCAGGGTATAGCAAATATCACTTTTTTATCTATGTTTCAAAAATCAAAGTATGAATTTCACTTTAAATTAACTATACTAGCAAAATCACAACTTATAGGGATATATGGTTAGAGTATATGGTATTTTGTTAGTGTATAATATATTGATGGTTTAGGCCTTAGGGTAACAACATATATTAACTTAATATTATCGATTGAGAGTAAGGCTAAGTGTATAGGATATATGTTATCGAGAAAGTTATGATTGAAATCACAACAATTTTACTAAATTTGATAGTTAATCTTTAATGGTTCAATTTTTAGGGTAATTCAAACAATTTTACAAATAACTCGTTTGGCAACAGTTTACTGAAGTTATTAAGGCAATGAGTTATTTCGAAATAACTCATTTTACCACTCTACTTTTGCCAAATACCAGATTTGCATGGTTATACTAAAGAGATATTATAATCCAAATACTACTGAAATAATATTAAAATACCAAATAAATAATTAATGGTGTCTTTTGGTTGCAAATGTTGATATAACCATTACTATTAGCTAGTGTACTTTAGTACTTTACCAATTATCATTAAGGGTTAATACCTTATTCTGAACCGAACTATGATCATATAATCAACTTTGGCTCGTGGTTTCAGAAATTAACATCCCAGCATACAGACTCATTTGGCCGGGAGCATGATTTGACTGTTTGTTTGGACGGTCAGCACTGTTGAGCGTCAGTCAACTGTACAGGTCACTGTCAACACCAAAGAAATAAAAAAATCGAATTTCATTTTTCTTTTATTATTTCCTTTACCTAATTAAAAAAAATCAAAACAAAATAAAATTAATGTCGGCCACCCACCACCTTATCCCCTCGCCACTTTCCTTCTAGCAAAACCAAAAAAATCTCTAACCCTAACCATTCTTCTTCTCCAAAGCAGACACCGAAATCCCCTAAGCCGTCAAGCTCCGATGTTCCGCAACGAATCAATCAATCTTCGTCATTGACCTTCGCCAACCCTATCCCACGCCCAACACTCGTCGCCGTCGCCGTCTCCACAATCGCGGCCGACGACATCTCCATCTGACAAACCCTCACGACGCCGATCAACCTCTCGGGCATCTCCTCCTCCTGTGCCTCCACCAGGAACCCATACCAATCGCCATGCTCGTCACGCACCCCAGCGCCAGATGCAGAATCGCAGTGGTGATTTCCGAGATCGCGATATCAACATCGATCACCAAATAGTTCGGCCACTGTGGTAATTGCAGGTGAGCGCCTTCCGCAGTAGGCACGCGCTGTGATTCCCGACCGTCTTCTTCACCACCCAGGGTCCCTTCACGACGCGATTCATGACTGTCCTTCACCCGCTGGTTCCGCTACTCGTCATCGTCGTTGACGAATTTGTGCAACAGGCTCCCTGCTAGTTCTGAGCTTTCCTCAACTAGGTCGGCCTCCCGGCTGTCTCCAGGCGTAATTTCGCCGGCGGGAGGCTGGACATCAAGTAAGAGGAATCCAGAGCAGAGTCCGAGGCAAGGATTCGAGAAGCCATGTTCTTCCAGATTGCCTCCGATGGCTGGAAGAAGAAATCGAGCTATAACGCCTCTTCAGTGGACCCCAATATGGTTAGAGGAATTTGGGGGAAGTAAGGAACCAAAATGATTTTGAGAGAGGTGATAAAATGGAAAATGGCAAAGATGATCTGTAGAGGCGGAGGGAGAATGATTTTTGTGGAGGAAGAAAGAAGAACAGAGGTAGAAGGTTTTCTGGAGGAAGAAAGAAGAATAGAGGAGTGAATTGACAGATGAGTGGCGCGGATGAGAGATGGTGATTTCTTTCATTTAACAGTTTTCTTTTATTATTATTAATGGTAGTTGATAGTTTGAGTTTTATTAATCTATTTAATATTTTATTAATTTTTAATGTCTACATGGCATCCACATAAGCAAAACATGCTGATTCACTAACGGTCAACACTATTGATCGTCTAATTTGACGGAAATTGACGAATCGGGCCAATTGAGTCTATATGTTGTATAGTTCGGGTCAGGATGTTAATTTCTGAAACCACGGGCCAAAGTTGATTATATGGTCATAGTTCGGGCCACAATAAGGTATTAACCCTATGATTAATTATATAACAAGTTTGCAAGTCATATAACTTGATTCAACATTTTGACTAGTTTTTTTTAATTAAATATATATACGAGGTAAAAAGAAATTGGTTAAAAATTGATTAAAATATTTTAAATTAGTGTAATAAAGTGTGTAAGTTGGAAACGAGTAAGAAGTAAGTTACTCGATGCACTGACCTGTACAACCCGCAACCCGCCCGACCCAAAACCCGATGAACCCGTAACCCAATTTGCCCGCAACCCGATTGAATCCGCAACCCGACTAACCCGCAACCCATTTGAACCCGAACCCGATGAACCCGAACCCGTTAAACCTGCAACCCGATGAACCCGCAACCCGTTTGAACCCGTACCCGATTGAACCCAGCCCGAACCCGCCCGATTGACACCTATAATTATATGATTATAGTTCAGGCCAAAATAAGGTATTAACCCTATTTTTTTTATATCAAACTTGCCCTTATACTTTGGAAAAATGATCAAACATGACCTTCTATTATCCAAAAAATCGTTAACCACGGCGAACTTTGATTTGGGCGACACAAATGTATAAAATATCTCTAATAATTTCACTTTAGAATTTTTTGTTCTTATTTATAGCCAAATAATCTAATAATTTCACTTCGACGAGACCCAGAAAAGTAAAACATGAGACAAAAGTGATATTTTCCCTCCAATTTGCCGATATCGGGTTCTC